GTGAGGGTGTAAATTTGGTCAGTACCGAACAACCCCAGAGGCTGGGTTTGCACATAAAGCTATACCATAGCACAGTGTTATATGCACAAGGAGGCAGGTTGTTGGAGATTAGTTTTACTTCACGCTAATATTTCCTTGTTCTCTCATGCAAACCAGGGACCATAGTTGTTGTTTTGTTTTGTTTTTTAATCTGGTCATTTTTAAGACAGGCCAACTTCAAAACATTTCGTTTCAAATATTTTTAGACCGCCTTTTAATTCAAAAGTAAATTCCAATGCGGTATACAATTATCCAAATACATTAGGCAGGGAAATAGCTACAACTGCAGACCAATAGCCTGAAAATGCATGGGTGAATAAATACAGAGTTTTAACACAGTTTTAAACAGTCATTACTAGCAGTATGTGCCTTATCTCAGAGCAGAGACTTCTACAATGTAGAAGCCACCAAGGAAATGCCCTTGCCTTTAGATGCTGCAAGATGGATTAATATAGGTCATGGCATTGGCAGAAGGACCTCCTCCAAAGATCTTAGCGAATGCAAAGGTTTAAATGGGATAAGGAGTCTTTTTCAGGTAGTCAAGTCTCAAGTTCCTTAGGGATTTAGGTCAAAAGAAGAAATTACGAAGCTGGCTTGTTTAATGGACCAGTTTCTTTTGAACGACCATTTCTCTCTTGTATGGCATGACAAGCCAGGATTATCGGAAGGCGAAACTAAACACTAGCGAAAGCATTTTTTGCTGGTCATGTGGGAGGAGAGAGAAGAGCCATGCCAAGCCTGGTGCTTTGCCTGGGCTTCTTCCTGCTCATGCAGTGTTAAAACAATGGTTTTGCATTACGTGCGAACCTGGCCACAATGTCTGCTTTGTAGGTGTCGTGGATTTGTTTATATGACCAGTCCTGAGGCCCTTGGTTATTCTGAAAAAGAGCGTGAATCTTGTCCTTAGGAATGAAGATGATAAAATGCTAAAGACGGTCACAGTTTAAAAGCCAGACCAGGTACAAGGTGCAATTCATTTAGCTATGTATGTGGAACTCCACTGAGGTGCTGGGATTGGAAGAAACCAGTTCACATAAGGTCAATGAATTGTGCAAGCCAGATTTAAGCATAGGAAGCTGCCCTAGACCAAGTCAAACTATTGGTCCGCCTAGCTCAGTAGTGTCTACATTACCTGGCAGGTGTTGCAAGTTCTAGATGGGGCATTCCCAGCCCCACCTGGGTATGCTAGGGATTGTGCCTGGGACCTTCTGCATTCAAAGGGCATGCCCTACCACTGAGCTGTGGCCTTCCTTTTGTGAAGACTGACTTTTCCCACCCTGCCCCACATACTTGATTATCCTACTACACCTGCAAAGAAAGATAACAGCTATTGGTAAACAGAAAATGCTCAAAGGGGCATTTGTTTACAGCCCCAGCTGTTCCACTCCACTGTGAAAAATAACCCAGTATGAGTTTTCTGGCATCCTTCATCTCTCTTAATCAGTCAACAAAGCAACATCCAGTTGAGTTAACTCTGAAATACACAGCTGCTGGCAACAGGCGAAAACTCGTGATTTCTCGTCTGATCAAAACTTGCTTGGCAGCTATTCCTTGGAGCTATAGAGTTCCAGCCATTGCAGTCTATGATGTAATTTTTATTTTCTGGCAATAAGGAGCTATGCATTAAAGACATCCTTAAGGGAGAAAGAACGACCATGACAATCCTCAGTAACTCAGGCTAATGTGCATGGCATTGTATTGTCTCAAAACCACTGACTCCTTTTTAGCTATAGATTCCTAAAATAATCAGATCTTTTTGGACCTCCGTGTCTTCTCCAAATCACTGAACTACCCTGCCCCCCGCCAAAAAGAGAAAGAAAAGCCCCCAGCTATGCAACTACAATTTACATGGTATATTTACAACATTTTTGGCTAATATGTAGATTAATGATGGGTTTTTATACAAGTACCAGTGGGGAATTGTGCATTAACTGATTCAGATGTAATGCTTATCTTAATGTACAAATTTTTAAAGCACAAAATGTATTACAGCATGTTAATTTTTTCTACACAAGGAACTTTTTTTTTTTAAAGTCATGTATATAAAACAGCTGCCCAACTTCTAAAAATGGCTACGTTTTGTTATAGGCATTGACATAATTACATAAAGTACTTCCACTTTTCCCTTTTGCTGGCCCATTTCTCTGCAATTCAAGATCTCTGTTAGAATGTGGGTACCTTTTCTGACTAGAGGGCCAGATCCTTATTTCCCCACCTGTGACAGGCCAAATTTGATCTGTCAGTCACTTGATGTCACTATGATTCTATGATACTTCCATTTCTAAGCCCCGATTGCTAGGAATTCAAAATGCTGATCAGGGCTATTTAAAAGCCCTTTTGCAAAGAGCCCTACACTGCTATTTAAACCTATGAAAACCAGAGTGTCAAGGAACAATGCAAAAGGACTTTCAAACAGCCCGACACTGCACTTTGAAGCAGAACCCAGGATTGGACAGTTAAATTCTGCTGTTTTGGCTGCCCAGGAACTGCCTGTTCCCAGTAGGGGAATCAGTGTATGCAATCAGCACAGAATTTAACCCCACCCAACTCGTCAGCTGACAGCACTGGCTGACTGGACTAACATCAGCTGATTGGCAGGGATGCGGGCTGGTGGTTTCCTGGAGGATCTGGTCACTTCCCATCAGCACAGCCAGCATGACCAATGGAGTCCAACATAATATGGAAGGATGCAGATTTCCAACTCTTGGGTTAGTGTGGTGTCTTAACACAGCTAGTGTCTGGTGCTTGGGATCCATGTTTCTGTGTGTCCTGGTAAATGTGAAAATCTATTTCAAGTAAATGGAACCAGAAATAAGGGGAGAAGTCATTACTCAGTGGTGGGAACACATATTTTACCTATGAAAAGTCCAGGCTTTAAATTCTGGCCACCATCTATTGAGTTCAGAGGGTCTCTACCAGAAACTTTGCAGTCACCATCTGGGGAAGATGAAACACTTGATTGGACTGGACCATGTATATTCATGGAAATGTAACTTGATAGTGGGGGGCGAGAGAACCTGCAGCCCAATTCCATGTGGGTGAGGAACGTTCAGGACGACAGGAGTGGGGAAGAGCCAAAATGTATGAAGCAATTAGTGACAGGATAAGAAAAAAGGCCCTCTTGCAAGCGATCAGATCTTTGAGCAAAAAGCCATTTGTTTTCCTCTCTTCCGGCAGTGCACTGAGGGGAAGCAAAAACAAGGCAGACTACCCACCATGTAGAAGGCAGCCCTCAACAGCATCCTCACTGACTGATTTACATGATCAAAGACTTCAGAATTGCATTTCTTCAGCAAATGTTCATTCGCTGCTCTCTGTGCTTGATAATACCAAATAGTGGTTAAGAGGTTCCTCAAGCCACATAACTCAGTAGATACTAAATGTGGTTTATTTGTTTGTTGTGTTTATTGAATGCATATCCCACCACTCATCTTTAGTGACCTTGGGATGAGCCTCAACAATACAATAACCAAGAGAAGACACAGTTAAAATTTCTAGTTGCTAATCCTTCTTTATAGTCCCACTTTGCTAACTTTTTGCCTGCTAGTTGTTTGGGGCTATAAAGCCCAGCAACCCCAGCCAGCACAACCAGTTAAGTCTACGTGCCATCAAAAGCTTGCCAGGCCAAGGAGCAAGACATCAGAACCTGCTATTAGTGCTAGGAAGGGTCTGTTTTCCTTCTCACGGGGCTGACGCCTAGGCTTTAGCAGTGTAATCAATTTCCACATGACCAAATCCTCAGTTCTCTAAAATTTAGACAAACTGTTTAGACAGACCAATTAATGCCAAAGGTCTCGGTTCAATGTCCAAATGGATTTTAAAAAAACCCACAACCAAACCCTAAAAACAGATTTGGTACTACAAATCTGAATATGTGTGTGTTCAGTCTGCGAAACAGACACCAGATGTGTGTAATTAGCTCTTGCTATTTATTCCATCCAAAATAAATGCACACATCCTTTGCAGTTTCTTCCATTTTCATTTCAGAAACAGTAGTAGGTCATAAATGCGTAACCGTTTTGATTGAAGCATGAAGCGGTGCTTGGAATCGGTTTACGTTGAATAATAAAACCCACAGAATACTCATTGAACAGAAAATGCTGTGAGCAAACTCTTAGAATCATGGACTCCTAGAAGTGTAGAGTTGGAAGGGATTTCCAAGGGTCATCTAGTCCAACTCCCTGCAATGCAGGAATCTCAGTTAAAGGACCCAAGGCAGATGGCCATCCAACCTGCTCTAAAATGTCCAAGGATGGAGAGTCCACAACCTCCTGTCCCACCATCAAATAGCTCTTAGAAAGCTCTTCCTGATGTTGAGTCAGACCCCTAGATCCTTTTCACATGTACTGCTGACAAGCCAGATGCTCCCTATCCAATATTGGTGCAGCTAGTTTCCACATGACCAAATCCTCCGTTCATCTAGTCCAATCCTCCAGCAATGCAGGAATCTTAACTAAAGCACCACTGATTTCTGTGGGTTAATCTCATGGCCTAGTTCTGTATGGTTGTGGGCCTTTACTTGCACGGTGGCATGAACCCATAGAAAACTGCATTTCCTGCAGCAGTACTGCAATGGTTAAAAGCACCACAGGTATGATGGACAGCATTGTCAACTCCCGGAAGATGAAGGCTGTAAAAGCTGCAGGCTAAATCTGTGATCCAAACAGCAGAAGCAATCTTATAGGTGGCAGACTTTTATAGTGGTGATCACTTGTAAGCAACTCAATGCTGTCCATCAATAACTTCCGTAGATAAGACTTTTTTTTCTATTTGCGCACGACACATCTTCAAAAAAAGGTAAGTCGCATTCTTACTTAAGTTGCTCCTTGTTATGTGTTTGGAAACAAAATTAAGTTAGGAAAAAGTGGTCATCAAAACTAGGCAACTTAACGTCTCGTTACGGACAATTCACTTTCGCAGCATTGAAGCACAAAACGAAGCAATCAAAACAGGGACGGAACTCCATTCGTTTGGGGGTAGATTTATTTGATTTTTTTTTTTAAAGATGCTACATAGTCAAACAGGATTGGTCTTTTTGTTTTTAACAGCATAGAACTAATTCCTACTAATTTTTTTCCCCTACATAGACTTATTTTTATATACAAAAACAGTTTTCCTGACCGCTGTTTCCCCCAATGTTTAGATGGTCGAAAGTGAGAATTATGTCGTGCCCAAAGCATCAGGAGGAGGAAGAGTCCATCGTTACTACAGCAACAAAAGGAAAATTTAGTTCTATTCACCAACTTTGAACAGGTGCCTTTTCTCTCTTTTTTAACCATTTATAACAGTAGTCAAACTTCTGCGACGGTAAAGGAAACATGAGATGAAATACAGTCAACTTCCAACTTAACGTGCATTTAAACTTAAAAACAAAAAAATTAAAGAGAGGGGGGCACCAGCAATCCCACCTGCCACTGCAGTGAGCTTGGGAGAGCATTTGGAGGTGCAAGGGACTATGTGTTTTGAGTATATGAGATTTTGGCTTCATGAGCTATCCCTGGAACGTAAGTTGAGAGCTGACTGTGTATTAAATAAGTTAAATATGCATTAAACATTTGGATATAAAGGACTTTAACTCAGCTACGTGAACCAACAGCAAACAGTAGCTTGGTCCCCTTTTAGAACGAGGCATTGACCCTCCTCGCCCCATGCAACCTGCCACACAGGTGACTGTCCCGTGGCATTTTCCACATTGTTCAATAGGGCTGCATTCAGCTCCTTTCAGCTTTCCATTGACTGGTATGTTAATACCAGTGGTGCTAAACCAAACGTACCCAACCTGGTGCCCTGCGGGTGTTGCGGTTCTCCCAACTCCCCATCAGCCTCAACCAGCACGGCCATTGGTCAGGGATGAGGAGAGCTGGAATCTAGCAACAGCTGGAGAGTGGTCGAAAGGAAGGCTGGTCTAGACCTATCATCCCACAAATGAGACAACCAGGTTGCTTAAGATTCATGACCTTTGTCCCCAAGTTCTTCCATGCACATGTCCCCTTTTCAGCCAGTTATAGCCCAAGAGACTTCTTCCTTGGGTGCAACACCATTCAAGAAAGTCAGCACTAAACAGCTGATGGGCAAAGGAGCAGCGTGTTATTTCTCTCTCGAACTGAGCTGTTGAGAAACGGAGAATGCCCCAGAGACTGAACTAAGCTGTGCCACTGATGGGCACAGAACAGCAAGTCCCATTCCTTCTCAGGTCCAGAAGACCAAATCCCTGACAGCCTTTCTTCTATAGTTCAGGACAGAAACCTGATCTCCAAAAGCTTCACGAGAAGGTAAATGGCAAAAGGCTGAAATAAGGTCATGTAAGCGGAAAGCCACCCCCCCCCCCAATGTGCAATGCATTATGTGGCTAAGCTTTTGAGAGTCTGCCGAGGGTGCAAGCAGAGGAGGAAAGGTTTGCTGATGGATGCGACAAGCGGAGGGTGCAAAAAGGACACGATGGATGAGGCAAGAGGTGCATGGTCCCCATTAAACATGATGCCATCTTGACTGGAAACACAGATGGACAGGAAGAAACTATTTTAGCAAGACGGGAGGGTTCAGATACAAAACGCGATGGCTCATTGCAACGCTCCTCTTTCCTACAAAGCCTGGCTAAGAAAATCACACCCGCAGTTCAAATCGGAGCACATCTGGTGCAACACGTTGAGTTGACCACAGCTGGAAAGCGGGCTCCTTGTGTTTCCAAACCACCACTGGCAATTAGGTTTCCTCACTGCTAGACTGACATGAGCAAAAAAGCATGTGGGTGACCCTCTCGCCTTCCACTCCTCCTGCTGCAGCCTCCACAATCTTTTGGTCGCCCCTTTTCTATACATAAGACTGGACAGGGCCAATTTCAGAAATCCGGTGCTGCTGGCACCCTTCTGGATCATGAACCTGCTCCAAGTCTTCTCTCCCCTCTCCTTCTCATCTTCCAGGCTGCCCAGTTAGTGGTTCACAGCTCCTGCAAATGACACAGGACCTAGAGAGGCAGGGTCACACTTAAAGAGAGTTCAGGGTGAATAAACAGCTGCTTGGGGAGTTACACTGCTGAGACCCAAGTCACACCCACTTGACAGAACTGTTAAAATTTAAGAGGAGGAGGAATGGTGGGTTAGCCTATTTTACAATAACGCCATCAGCCTCACCCGCCTGAAAGCCAACCTCTAAATAACCAGAAGGATCTACTCTTTTTCAACGGAGGAACTTTTTCTTTCCTCCCCCCTCCAAAGAAGAGAAGTCCAGTAATTGGGATGAAGGTCCAAGAACTCTTTGAAGTTTAACTTTAAAAAAACAAACAGAAAAACCCACACACACGCACACAAAATGCACCTTTATAGTGTTAAAATACATGATTTCGTCCTCACTGCTGGCAATCAAGATGTAACTCGCCTCTCTTCTCCTGCTCAACTCCTTTTATGTTTTATGCTTTCTAGAAGATTATGTTATGTTAATGTTATATTTGTGCAGGGGTAAAAATTTAAAAGGCAAGACCTGTGAGATGTCATACATTTTTCTTTAAACATTTGTTATGAATAAATTTAATACCAATGATATGGCAGATCCATCAATCCAATTTACAATCCTCAGCATGCTGCCTCTACAAGGCGATTTTCCCTATAATGACGCCAATGATGAAGAACAGTACCACCAGGGCAAGTAGTCTAGTGCTGAGCCCCTCTTCCTTCACAACAGGTGCTGAAGCAAAGCCCGGGTGGTTTGTCTGGGGCGCCTTCCTCATCCGCAGTCCATCTTCTTCCTGCAGCAAGGATAATTTATGGAGATTTAAAAAATAAATAAATGCACTGAGCAGACGTGCGCATTAGACGCTCAGCCTCAATTCTGTGCTGAGATGTAAACAATCTGGGGTGAGATAATGTGCTCCTTTTTCCAAGCAGAAAACGCTCTTCTGCCAGGCCCAAAACAGACCTAAAATGTAACCAGGGTTCCTGCTAAACCTGGGATCCAAAAACAGTCCTTCCCCCAAGCTGGATTGACCAGGAACTGCAGTCAGCTCTAACCTCTGTTAATGCAAGTGCCAATTCTATAAGAAACCATGGGCAGCCAGGAGAAATTTGGACCAGAATGGAAGTGATGGGAAAAGACAGCACACAATCCTACAATCTGTTACTAACAGATTAACCATGGTTTAAAAACCCCCCACATATTCTAGTTAAGCTTGCTAGTTACTCATTTTGCCATCATTCACTACTGCGGTAGATTATATCCATTAACCAAATTCACAGATTCACTCAAATAATTTCTGCCCTGTTCTCTGGCCAAAAGGCACCTAGAGTGGCTAACAACTGTCCAATACACAACAACAGATCAGGGTAAAGTTAAAGGGACCCCTGACCATTAGGTCCAGTTGTGACCGACTCTGGGGTTGCGGTGCTCATCCCACTTTACTGGCCAAGGGAGCCGGCGTACAGCTTCCGGGTCATGTGGCCAGCATGACTAAGCCGCTTCTGGCAAACCAGAGCAGTGCACGGAAACGCCGCTTACCTTCCCGCTGGAGCGGTACCTATTTATCTACTTGCACTTTGATGTGCTTTTGAACTGCTAGGTTGGCAGGAGCTGGGACCGAACAACGGGAGCTCACCCCGTCGCGGGGATTCGAACCGCCGACCCTCTGATCGGCAAGTCCTAGGCTCTGTGGTTTAACCCACAGCGCTACCCGCATCCCTTAATAGATCAGGGTAAGGCCAGGTTAAAACAACAAAAAGCTATTGTTTGTTTTAAGCCATGGCTTAATTGTGAACGTTCCTGCTGCTCACCTTCTCCCAATAAGCCATACCCCAGAACAAGTGTGGTATTGCTTATTGTGTGAACCCGGATTGTGGTTTATTTCAAACAAACCATGATCAGTAAACCAGAAGTAAGCCAAGAACAACGAACCTCGGCTTATTTCTGGCCTACCGCTTGTGGTTTGTTGGGAACAAACAAGCTATAGTATCCGATGGTACAAACCATAACGCAGCACCCAACATAATTAATGACTTAAAACAAACTACTGTATGGGTTGTATTCTAAGTAGGCTGCACCAGTGCAAGGATTTTCCTTGCGAGAGGCAAGATTCTGCCCCTCTCCTCCCCCTCCCCTGCACCCCCCGCATCTCTTCTTGGAGTTCCCCCAGCTCTGGCAGGGAAGGAGAGGGCAGAATTCTTGTTGCACAAGCAGGAATCCTTGTACTGGCCTCCACAGCACAACAATTTAGCTGAATGCACCTCTGTTATTTAGGAGTGATGTGTGAACCAGCATGAAACAAATCCCCAGCTGTTATTAAATACCCAACAAAAAAACAACTATGCCAGGCAGTTTGCAATACACGCCAATACTTTAACTTTGTCCTAAGTGTCAATAGGCTGACCTTACCTTAAATTGTTTATTCTCCTCTCGTAACCTCTGAACTTCTAACTGAAGCCTCTTACATTCTTCCATTACTTTCTTAACTTCGCTGTCATCCAAAGAAGAACTTAATGATTTAGACATTACAGAAGATTCTGTCTTTGTTGCAGCTGTGGATATAATTTTATTTATTTCTACATCATGCTGTTGAGACAAAAACAACAACAACAGAAAGTTTGTTTTCATTTAGGGCACTTCAAATCCTATCATTTCTCTCTTTACAAAGCACTTAGGACAGCCAACAATCTCAGTCAGCCTTCCCCAACCTAGTACATTCCAGATGTTTTGGACTACAACTCCCATCAGTCCCTGGGAGCCGGAACGCTTTGCATACTGTATCTATGACTATTTTTTAAATCCCATTGCCCCAACTACTGTTCCCTCATCTCTGGGTTGCTAGATGGAGAGTTGTGCTTGTGTGTGAGACAGAGATGCCAACAGCCTCCTACAGATACCTATTCTACTTGAAGTCTTAATGTTAGTGCTTTAGTAAAAGGAGTATTAAGTTTCTAGGGATATTTGTAATCACTGCCCATTACAACTGCCCAGACTCCTTAATTATTCTCTCAATAGTTCCCAGCCTTCACTATTTTTCACACAGTACACAAAGACCCAAGTTCTAAATATGGGTTCCTCATTGCACCCATTTTGCAATGGGTGACAACTGCGATTACAAACAGGGCCAAAAGATCTGAGCGACCAGCCAGGCACAAGGGTATTTAAGTGTTCAAAAAGCAAAGCCAGACGTGTCCAGGAACACCTCTCAGATTGTTGGAAGTGTCCTGCACGCACCCTGTGTCAAGCTGGTGAGGTAGCCTATCTAGAAGGAAAACTATGATCCTAGACCTCCACTGCATTGTGCGACATCTTCGGGAGAAGAAAAAACTAAGGAATAAACCCCACACAAATCCAGAGTGCAGCCCCTAAGGTAGTCGGATGGCATCTTGTATGCCTCTTTCCGGCAACTCCTGCAGCCAAGCTGGTGCTAAATGTATTGCTCTGCTTTCCTTTGGACCACATCAGCGACTTGTTCTCTGGGCAGCCCAGGACCTTCATACACACTGCCCAGGCTTGATGTCACTTCAGTGCTGCAAACGCAGCAAAAACAGAAGTTACCTAAACACACCCTTCCTTGGCAACTTGTGGAACGTTCTATTTCTTATCTGACGCTGAAATTGCATCACAATCTGGAATACTAAGAGCAATGGCTAAAGCTACTATTTGCTGCCTAGTCTCCTGCCATTGCAACTTTTACGGATTAAAAGGGGAAAAGCAGAAACCTGGAATCCACAGTCTACTCTTATCGCAATATGCTGCAATTCCACCTTTTACATTGTTAGAGGACTAAGCGCCAGAAAAACCACCACCATATATCTAAAGGCATGGCTGTGACTGCAGAATTGCAATGCACAATCCTATGTAAAGCACAGGTGCAGCTTTAGTAATGATGTGCCCATGACATGATTCTGGGTGAGAGAAGAAAAAGCAAGGGAACATACTGAAGAAAATCAGCTTCATCCACAGTAGATCGATCATGTTTAAATCAACTGTATTATAATCTACGAAAATATTTTAAGTTGACTATAAAAGTGCCTCTTTGCAGGGATGATTTGTTTTGAACATTTAATATAGTTTCTGAATAAACCACAGCCTTATGTTTGGGCCTTGAAATATATAGCTGGTTTAAGAGTCTAGATATTTCAGACACTACCTTTTACTTATAAGCAGCAGCCGTGCCAAGTACAGAAAGCAACAATTGAACTCACGGGTTTATCGTTTTCTGCCGGCAGCTCAAACACACATCTAAGTTTTGAATCCATGAGTTCCTCTGGCTTTGCTTCTTTCCACTAAAACACACAGAACGGAAGAAAAAGTTAATTTTAAAAGAATTAAGTCTTCTTCAGTACTATGCAGTTTGTTTCCCCGATGTCTCTCCAATGTCCAAGATACCTTCCAGAAGCAAAGTGAAACCCCCCTATTACATGGATCATTCGTAAAAAATAAATAAATAAGGAAAAGTCTATCTAGCATTCTGAAACACTTCTGAGAAAGTTTCAGAAGGGCCAATAACAGGCTTTAATGAATCTCCCAGCCATGACAAGCATGGTGTCATCTTCTGCTGAATGTGATGAACAGCCGGCGTTTCCCTCCGACTGCGACGCTGCAGAGATGGGCGAAGATAGCTGGGAAGTCGTGCAGGGACGCCTGCTATCTTTCCACTTGAAGAGACTTGACTATGAAGTGCCAAAGTGCCCCCCTCCCCACTCCCTAGGCCTTCTCTGCTTTGAAGCAGGAATGGTGGGGTGGTGTTGAATTAGAGCTGGCTGGCGCATGCCCACCGCTCCGTGCAACTCTTCGCTGGCGGATTTGGGCAGGGAGAATCATGGAACTGCAGAGTTGGAAGGATCATCTAGTCCAGGGGTCAGCAAGGTTTATCTTGCCTGGGCCGGATCGGTCTCACGGAAATCCCTCTGTGGGCTGGATCAATCGCGTGCACGCCCACGATTTTCGGTGTCTGCACCTGCGCAGACACGGTTTTCAGTGCCGCGGAAGCGAGTCGCCGCGCCGGTTTAGCGCAGCTCGCACCTTGGTTCGGGGGCGGCTTGTGGGCTGGTCAAACGACCTCCACGGGCTACTTCTGGCCCATGGGCCTTAGGTTGCTGACCCCTGATCTACTCCAACCCACTGCAATGCAGGAATACACAGCTGTCCCATACGGGGATTGAACCTGCAACCTTGCCCTTATCAGCACCATGTGCTAATGAGTTGAGCTATCCACTTGGATAAGAGGGATTTGCCTGAGGAGAAAGGGGTGAGGCTTGCTCCTACAGATTTTGGCTTGGCTTATTGGCAAACAGCGAGTGTTTGGATGGAACATTCACACAGTGTGCTCCCAGATGGCACAGGGCGAACTGCACAGGCTAGTTCTGCTTGCATAAGGTTTTGTTTCCCACGAGGAGCACATGCCATTGAACAAAAATGCAGTGGGACTGCTATAAGCTAGGCCAACTGGTTCCACCTATTGTGCTTGGCTGTGGGTTGCGTGCAATGTGCCCCAGAAGCAATCTGAACATCGCAAACTGCTGTTTGCTTCTGGTAAAGGGCAAAATCGTTCACAAATGCAAGCCACTGGGATTAACCACAGCCTCCCACAGAGGTGGCACCCCCTAGATAGCAAGTTTGCAAATTAAAGAACAGGTAATGCTGACATTTTCAATTTGTGTGTGTGAGAGAGGGTTATTAGGACACTGGCAACTGCCTTCCAGATTATTTCAAATGACTTCTGCTCAATTCAAGGGGTATTTTGGTCTGTTGACCAGTTCTCATAAGCAATGTTCATTCAAAGTTCATGGTCAGGACCATACTTTAAGAGTTAAATATATTTTAATGCTACAAGCTGGGGTCAAAAGGACATGCTATTTATACAACTGATCCACATATTCTTGTTTTGGTTCCAAAAAATATTTTAGCTTTTTCAATGTAATTGGCGTTTTTTTTACAATCTTAGGCTTTGCTGCTTGTTTTTTGTATTTATACTGCTCTCCTGTTGCTATTAGAATATTTTGCAGCTGCTTTCGTGCTTTACAGATTGTGGATTTGTTGTTGGCAATTACATTATGAGTGAACATTATCGGTTGTATGCAATGAAGTTGCCCCATTATCACGAGGGGTTCCACTTGTGTAATGGAACTTCCCCTCCCTCTGATCTCCCCATGGCCTGCAACCTGCTTGGGAGAATTGGGGGAACCCACAGAACAGATGGGAGAGGAAGAGAAAGTCCTGTTGCACAAGCAAGATATTCTTGCACTAACAGAATGACTTCGTTGGATAAAACCCTATGCTAATACGCCGTGAGCCACTTTCGGAGAGTTAATCCCTGAAAGGCCGTCCGTAAATATTGAAATAAATAAACGTGCATAAATAAATTGTAGACTTGCCGCTGGGCAAGATTCATCTGTACTTTTCACAGCGATACCATCCAACTCTAGCAACAGATGCAAAATCCGTAGGTATTAACCGCAACCTAATATGGATAAGGGTACCCTGAATTTTCCAATGTGGCTCAGCCAGCACTGCCTTCCTCTGTGGAGAATACGAAGCCACACCATTCCTACATTATGCTGTAAGGGTATGCTAGATGTGGGGGTGACATTAGTGCACTTGCGGTGTTCAAGCATGCCACAGGGCCAACATTATTTACAAATCCCTCTTGCTGGTTCGGTTCATGCTGGAGATGTAAAATGTCCAGAAATGTTGGAAGCCGTGGGGGAAGCAGTGTTTTGTTTCTTCGTCTTTTAAGGAAGAAAAAACCTGGGATCTGTTTTTGCAAAATTTAAAAAAAGCACACCCCGCCCCCCAGAACAGATTTAGGGTATGCATGCGGGGACGAGAGGGGATGAAGTTCCATTGCAGCTGGGAAAATCCTTGCACCTAAATAACGTGTTAGCAGGATACAGCCCAAATATGCTTGCACAGTCCAGTTGCCTAACTTGTTTTCCTGAAGTGAGTAAGTGAGCAAATAAGATTTCTCCTCAACAGACCTCTATGAATCTTGAGGCATCTGCACTCGCAGCAAGACTGCCAGTTCAATCAAAGGGATCCAGATTGTCTATTTCAATTTTCATTTCTTGAAGGTTGTCTTACTTCCATTCCAAGCCCCGACCCCCTTTTATACCACTAGGTGCTCCGCCGTGTCTCGCTATTACACTGTGCACTTTAAACAACTCGTTGGTTCTTGTCAAAAGGCTTTCCGCCATGTTATTCACGCAGAAGAAAAACGCAGCACCTTGATAAGCCATTTCTCAATACTCACTACTGCTTCCATGTCTGAAGTATCGGGGGGTGCGAACATCGACTGAACCATGAACTTGTGTTTACTTTTTTCATTAGGGTCGTAATCAAAAGGCTGTAGCATCACTGAAAAGAGAAATCATTGCCATTAGAACTGCAGCCATTTATTGCCACGTGTGAATCTTTGCTCGTTCCCAGAAGCAATTCCTGGCAGGGTCGATAGATGCAAGGAAGCTGGGAACACCACAACATTCGTTTCAGAAGCTTAACCTGAGTTGCACAATGAAAACGCTTGAGCTTTTTTTATAAGCTACAGAATTATGAAGACTTGTGCAGCGCGAGGGCATTTGCCATGACTGCTGAATGGGAGAAGGGAATGCGGTTAGAAATACATCCACTTTGTGTAGGAATGTTATTTCTTGGGTAGCGTTTACTCAAGCTATTGTTTGCAGAGACCAAGTTCTCACCTCTGAAAAATGGAAAGCTGTTACTTCTTTTTACAAACAGTTAAGACAGATGCTTCATGCATCCTCCCCTCAATGCATGGAGGGAAGAGCGCACAAATGCTTTGCTGCAAGGATAATCAAACAAATGTCCTCTCCTCTTCAATGAGCGCATGAGGGAATAGCAGGGACTCTCCTGTTGACTGCACCCCTCCCATAGCAACACACTTACAGGAGAGTCCTCCCCAGCAGCCAAAAGCAGTGCTGCTGTGTCCGCATCAAGGAAAAATTGGTGATTGTATGCGCCTCGAGTTCATACACAAAATGTCCTTATCTACCTGCAATTCCCAGGGTGACTATGTTGCATCCCTCCAGACGCTGCTAAACTCTAACTCCCACGAGCCCCACCCAACATGGCCAATGTAGATTAGCTGCAGTTTATAGAGTTGTAGTTTATAGTGACCTAGACAGTCAAATGTTAGTCACCCCTGAAGAAAAGTAACTTCTTCAATTTCACATTTTTCACTATTATCACTTCTTTTCTCCCTTATAAATCCTGGTCTAATCCTCATTTCCACTTACAAGCATCCATGGATGATTACATCTGAGGGCATAATAGCTTTTCTGTTTGAGGTCTCCGGTAAAATTGTCTGCCCCCCCCCCCCTGCCAAAAAATCGGGAGGTCTTTGCAGTCGAACGTAAGCCTGGCTACAGGTTTGTGTGTCGTTTCTGCTACAGTCAGGGCCAATGTGTAAAGCATTTGAGTTGTCGGCATAAGCAATTCCTTTGCTGCCTGTTCCACCAGTTGTCACAACCCCAGGCATCTGGCACAAACCACGGCTAAGGGAATTCTACAAAACACCCAGAATGGAAAATTTAGGAACTTGTCCGTTCAGCGTGGTATGCTGAACTATGGCATAGTGTGCTGTCTGAACCCAGGCTCCTGGTTCATCTCTCCCCTCGCTAACCACAAGCTGTGGCCCAGAACCTGCATGGTCAAGTCATGCTAGCAAGTCACAGCAAGGCTTACCATGTCCAGCAACCCATGATTTTCTACAGCAGCTTAGGGTTTTGTTACGTAAAAAGAATGTGCAGTAATGCAGCAAGGAAAAGCCAAAGCTAGGAAAGAGAACAAGGCCAAGTCTGCGCTACTATGTGAGGGGTGCACACATACTAAGTTGTTGCTAATAGCAACAGACCACGTTTTGTTTAAAGAAAAAAACAAAAACATGTTTTAAGAGTACAGAACATTCAGCTTTTCCAAAGCTGAATCTAGGGCTTGCAACAAGCATGTCGCAATGAGACGTTTGGCCAAGCCCTGCCTGAAAATCTATGCAATGTTCTATAGTCAAGGACACATTCCAGTTCAACGTGCCTTTTCCACTTCCTGCAGATCAGATATGCCGGCTCAGCTTATTAGACTTTGCACACCAGTCTCCACACAGCAAGCGGTATATAAACAGACGTGAGCCCATCGCCCAACTCCTGCTGCAAATCACCAGGCCCTAATCCACTTCTACTCTGATGCACCCATGACAGAGGGAAACCCCTGCTGCATTTCCCCGTGTTCTTGTATTGGAAGCATTCGAGAGATTTCCACGCCAACAGGAAGTGAGAAGAGATGCGTGGCTGCTGGGACTCTATGCAGGGAAGAAGGACTGGGCAGAGGAAAGGAGCTATGCAGGGACAAAGTGTGGGGCAGCCCCGGCTTTAAGCAGCAGGGCAGTCATTTGCACCCATCCAAAGACGTCTTTTGAAAGCATAAGCTGGTTCCTCACGTTCTGCAGTTTCACAGGGGGATCCCAAGATATGCAAGTCAGTAAGCTTTTGAGTTCTGAAGAATTCTTCGCAGGCGAAATCATAGGATTGTAGAGTTAGAAGGGACCCCCGAGAACGATCAAGTCCAGCTCCCTGAGATGCAGGAACATGCAGCTGTCCCTTACGGAGATCGCACCTGCAACCATGGCGTTATCAGCACCACGTTCCAACCAAGTGAGCTTGCATGCTACTTTTAAGCAAGAGGTGGTCAGGGCTGCATCACACGGTCCCAGTGATCTACTTGTTTTTATTATTGCTTGTTAGCTGCCCTGAGCCCGGCCTTGGCTAGGGGGGGCGGGGGCGGGGTATAAATAAAAATTATTATTACAGTGGTGCCTCACAAGACGAAATTAATCCGTTGCGCGAGTCTCTTCGTCTTGCGGTTTTTTCGTCTTGTGAAGCACGGCTATTAGCGGCTTAGCGGCTATTAGCGGCTATTAACGGCTTAGCGGCTATTAACGGCTTAGCGGCTTTAAGAAAAAGGAAACAAACTTGTAAGAACTCGCAAGACGTTTCGTCTTGCGAAGCAAGCTCATAGGGAAATTCGTCTTGCGGAACGACTCAAAAAACGCAAAACCCTTTCGTCTAGCGAGTTTTTCGTCTTGCGGGGCATTCGTCTTGCGGGGCACCACTGTATTATTACTCTAGCATCCTTGGCAATGCCGTGGTTCAGGCTGGGGTGCCCTTTAAGGACTTTGGCACCATCGCCTTGCATGGCTTATCAGGACTGAAAGTGGCTTTCCTTGGATTTCTCCTAGTCAAGAGGAGATCAAAGCAGAGGACCACAAACAGACTGAGAGGGACTGTCGAATTTCGCCAGTTGTAGCAACATCCTAAGTAGTTTTTAAAAAGCAGGTATTTAAACATTTATCTACCCCCCCATCCAGTTTAACCAAAGCAGCAGAACCAGTAAAATCTATAACTGTTAGCGAAACCTGGAAACTGAAGGGCCAGGGTAAATAAAACAGGTTGCCACCAGATGCTGGGGTGGGGGGGAGAGAGAGATGTTTGGTGCCAGGTGAGTCTCTGGGGTGTCCCAGCCTGAAAAGGCTCTTCTATTCAAGGAGACCTGTCTGCAATCATCCTTGTCAGCACTCAAGGAATCCAATGAGGACCGAGCGTAAGGGTGTGAGAAACAGAAGAAAACAGGAAGTGGGGAGGGAGCTTCCTGGAGTGTCCTGAATGGTTGGCTGGCACCCTGGCCAGAAGGACTCCACACTGAATTTGTTTTTTACTGCAGGTTCCACTTGTATTCTGTCATTCTGGAATCCAAAGGCTCCCACGGTCTTCTGAAGACCCCACCCTTCCTTGCATCAGGGGAACTTGAGAAGAGACAATTATAGCAAGAGCAGCGCAGCGAAACACTCTGAAAGGGAAAAAGGGCTGAGTTAAGCAATTCCATGACAAATCACAAGAGCGTGCACGACGGATGTGCTGACAGTGCTGTTAATACACCAGCCATTTCCTAAGAAACTGAAGTGCAGGCATGCAACGGACTCCAGAGTCCCAACAGATAGGGATTCTCTCCTGGGCAATTTGCATTCCAGTTAAGGATAGCTTTAAGGGAGCGAAGAAGAGCGAGCTGCATTTCTAAGCTGTATCGTCTAAAATTTATTGCATGATTTCTGCTGCTAACCATCGTGATGCTAAGGAACCCTAGTGCGTGTCAGCTGACACCGAGGACAGAAACGAGAAGATCACATGTGAGCCCCGTGATGACTCAGTTAGGGGGACTCAGACCTTGGGGCAGCATCCAAATAACACTTCCTGTCCATGCAAGGTTTTATGTTTGTGTAATAATAATAATAATAATAATAATAATAATAATAATAATTTATACCCCGCCCATCTGGCTGGGTTTCCCCAGCCACTCTGGGTGGCCTCCAACAGAATATTAAAATACAATAACCTATTAAACCTTAAAAGCTTCCCTAAACAGGGCTGCCTTCAGATGTCTTCTAAAAGTCTGGTACTGTAGTTGTTTTTCTCTTTGACATCTGGTGGGTGGGTGTTCCACAAGGCGGGTGCCACTACCGAGAAGGCCCTCTGCCTGGTTCCCTGTAACTTGGCTTCTCGCAGTGAGGGAACCGCCAGAAGGCCCTCGACGCTGGACCTCAGTGTCCGGGTAGAACGATGGGGGTGGAGACGCTCCTTCAGGTATTCTGGACCAAGGCTGTGCAACAGAACACCCGCCCCAGCGGGTCCTGAGCCCTCCTCAAATCTGCTCCAAAGGGCTGAGGGAACCTCTAGAACAGATTTAGGGAATGCACAGGTGGGAAGGATGGGGAGAAATTCCATTGCACCAGCATAAATCCTGACAAGATACATTAGTTGGATGCCACCCTTACTTCTCTTATTCGTGGCTAACATTTATTCTATTTCTTAATCTTTAACCCAGTGTTCTCCAACCTTGGGTCTTCAGTTGTTTTTGGACTACAATTCCCATCATCCCTGACCACTGGTCTTGCTAGCCAGGGATGATGGGAGTTGTAGTCCAAAAAAACAGTTGGAGACCCACGGTTGGGAAACACTGCTTTAACCAAAAAGGAGCCCAGCACAATAAAAGATAAAACAAGAGTAAATCAAATAAATGCTTATAAATCACCATAGGTAAATTGACCCCTGATCATTAGGTCCAGTCGTGACCGACTCTGGGGTTGTTGCGCTCATCTCGCTTTATTAGCCGAGGGAGCAGGTGTACAGCTTCCGGGTCATGTGGCCAGCATGAATAAGCCACTTCTGGCGAACCAGAGCAGCGCATGGAAACACCGTTTACCTTCCCACCCGAGTGGTACCTATTTATCTACTTGCACTTTGATGTGCTTTCGAAATGCTAGGTTGGCAGGAGCAGGGACTGAGCAACGGGAGCTCACCCCGTCGCGGGGATTCGAACCGCCGACCTTCTGATCGGCAAGTCCTAGGCTCTGTGGTTTAACCCACAGCGTCACCTGCATCCCTATAAATCACCATAAACATCTATAAAATATCAGGACCTTCAAAATACAGAAATAACAGCTGCTGCTTGGAAAACCTGTCAGTAGAGCATGAGACTCCTAATCTCTGAGTTGTGGGTTCGAGCCCCACATTGGGGAACAAATTCCTGCATTGCAGGGAGTTGGACTAGATGGCCCCCTAGATGGACCAGGTGGTCCCTTCCAGCTCTATGACTCCATGATCAAAACAGTGAAACCCCAAGCAGTAACGGCCTGCGTACAATATTCGGCTTGCCAGTTGTATGGCAAGCTGACATCTGATCAACCTGACATTAAGATGGATTCTGGTTTCAGCCACTCCAGATGCACACAGTTCCTTGCATGCTAAATGCTTAACTGAGCTCCTGCCATGGGGTAACACTCCCCTTCCTCTGTTATTTAGGAACAGATATTTCCATGCTAGACCTAACTGTCAAGCCATTACATTAGAACTCCTATGCTAACTTACGGTGAGGACTGACCATAGTTTGCCCTTTAATCCTGGGTCTGAAGCCATTACCTTTCGTCATGTCCTGTTCCCTTATGTGTTTATCCTCGATTAAGCAAATGCGAGCGGTATCTTGCTGCAGTTTTGTGCAGGCAAGAGTCTCTCTATACAGTGGTACCTTGGGTTAAGAACTTAATTCGTTCTGGAGGGCCGTGCTTAACCTGAAACTGTTCTTAACCTGAGGTACCACTTTAGCTAATGGGGCCTCCTGCTGCCCCCGCGATTTCTGTTCTCATCCTGAAGCAAAGTTCTTAACCTGAGGTACTATTTCTGGGTTAGCGGAAACCTGAAGCGCCTGTAACCCGAGGTACATGCAAGCTCCTGACAGATCTCTAGAGGTTGTCCCTTAATATAAACAAGCGCTCTCCTTGGAGTCTTTTATCACTATCTGTAAGGAGATATGCAACGGATAACACCCTGTCGTGTTGTGACATAATCTCCAACACTGCTGACAGCACTGAGGTTTGCCCCATTCCTGTCTGCTGATCTGCACAGAGGCATTCTCGATAGCTGCTCCAGTTATGGAACTCCCTTCCCTTGGAATCTCACCAGAGCCTAGGCAACTTCATGCAGCGCTGTTAAAAAAATAATAATAAAGTCTTCTTCTGGGCTGGCTCTTCGTGGCTCTAGTCCAGCTGGGAGAAGGGTGGAGGCAGTAGCTGGAATCCGGTATTCGGAAGAGCTTTCAATTAGATGCTTTGTCATCCCAACTTTATTTTATGGTCTTAGCTACGAGCCCTCGGGGGCTGTGCAAGACAAAAAGTAAACAAGTATTAATTAAAGCACGCTTTGCAGAAGGCCGTGAACGAAATTAAGACCACATGCTCCCAAGGACACTAGAAATAAGCTGATTAAAGGTGCAGCACAGGTGGGAGATATGGGGAGCTACGAAGCAGAATTAAACCAGCAAACACCAGGAGGAGAGATGGAAGCGGCCGTGCTAGCTTTGAGGGGTATAGCCGCCCTTTGCTTGGTTGAAAGTGTATTGATTATCCTTGCATCCTGCAGCTTCAGTCCTGGAAATGGACTCTTTTAAGTGCATTACTGATTCAGCCAGATAACAATTAAATGCCACGTCATTCTGTGAAAGACAAAGCACGCGAAACCACCCCCACCCCCTTCACTTGTGGCAGAACCGAGAACTCCCATGTGAAAAACCTGACAAGGCGGCTGAAACTCTGGTTTCTTAGGCCTTCCTCCATTAACACATGTGCAATTGAAGGAGGAAGGTTCAGAACAGGGGTGGGAACATATTTTTTTTTCTGCCAGAGGGCCATCATTTCCTTCCGATTATTTTTCGGGGGAGTGGGTCACATGGCCAGTGGGGAGCAGGAAAAAAGGAAGGGGAAAATGGGACAGCAATGGATATGAATTTTACCTTTGTGCAATAAGCTAGTTTACAACCCCCCACAAACCACCTCTTTATCCTCTATCAAAGCAAGCAAGAAGTATATAAATATAAGCCCCATCCTGTCCTGTCCCCTTTATAAAGACTTGAGGAATGAGATCATCACCCCACTCCTACTTACCATCACAGGCCGCCCATCTGCGGCCACATTGTTCTTTCTGTTATCAGATCAAAATGATCAGATAACAGCAAAGGTTGCTAGGTTTATTGAGGGTGCAATGAGATTAAGGGCCACTATCTGAACGATAGTCTTGATCATTTGATTGTCCTTTATATCCATTGTTGTCTTTTTAATTGCATATATTGCTTGTTTTATGTTGCTATGGCCATTGGCTAATGCAAATAAAGTTGGGGGGGGGGGAAATATGAGCCCCAAGGTGCAAAACTGCCACTGAGAATATATACCCAAATGACAGCGGAAATGAGGTGAGCACTGTCTCTTCCAAGCATGCTTTTTTGAGGGGTGGGGGGTCCTAAATTGAGTGACAACTGGATGACAAAGAACACAAATAATGGCCTATCCAATGTCATCAGGTGCTGATGGTAGTCTGGAACACACTGAGGATCGCCTGCCGAATCAAGTTGTCTTAAGACACTACTTTTAATTTATATAATATGGCTCCTATTTTTAATTTCTGTGTAAACTTGCAGTCATATATAATGGAGATGGAAATGCTCAAACTACAGTACATGAGAGCTCTGGGTTACCTGCCTGGTGGAGTCCCAGAGGCATTTACCCACAATAAATTTTCCACTGCTCTATTTTGCTGGGAATTTTTTAAAAAAATTGGGTGCCAATCACAAATTTGGCATTAGGCAAACTTGGCAGCTTTACATTTATTTTTGTTTACTAAATGCAAGTAAATCTGACACGATAAATTAGATCAGAAAGTTTTCTGAGGCAAATTGTGCTATGGAAATTATCCTAACTTGCATAGGAAATTTTCCAATTCAAAATTTTCTGGAAAGCCCACATCACTGCCGTAGGGAACAGATTATAAACGCTCAAGTCTGCTGAAGTTTTAACGAGTTTCCACTAAGCAAAGAAACAGTCTGCCACCAGCATTTGGGAACTGGTGGTAGGAACAGAGCAGGGGTAAGAAACCTGTGGCCCTCCTCTAGGGACTTCCGGGGTGGCGCCATCGGCAATGGCGGATTCCCTCTAAACTGGAGGGACCAGCTCCACGGGAATTGGGTCTTTTCCGCTACGGCGAAGTGGGGACCCTTTCAAAAATCACAGGCGGATGAAGCCTGTGACCATGGGACTCGGCGGGCACCCTTAGCGCCCCCCAACCCGCAAAGGAACCCACTAACTGGCTCCGAAGCGAAGAGGGGGAAGTGGCGCGGTGCTGAGAGTCAACTGCTTCTTCCGTGGAGCGAAGCCGCACAGCCATTGCCAGAGAGCGCTGCCTTTTTCCTGGGACAATTTGGCTTCTAAAATAATCACCCGTGAGTACCTAAACTCGGACAATTGGACTTTAAATAAGGACTTGTGAGCAGAAAGGAAAATTGGACTTAAAAGTTTACCTCAATTTGGCACTGAAACGGGAAGGTCTAAACAGGAAGTCAGCCTTCCGTTTCTTTGTAGATAGATTAAAGCAAAGACATGGCAAACTAGAGCTCAGAAAATCACCTGTAAAAGATTAACTTTCATCATTTAAAATTGTTGAACCCCCCTTCGGAAGCAGGAGAAGAGGGGGGATCTTTTCGGACTGTTTAAACCTGCAGAAGTGAGGGTAAAGTAAAGTAACTTTCCACCGTCCTGATCCTGGAGCGGGGTGTTAGGACTGACGTTTTTTTGAAGCTCATTGACCAGAGACAACGTTTTTGACAGATAGCTATAAGAAGAGAAACATTGATTCCATTGTTCCCCTTCGCTTTTGAAAGGAACAAATATTGACAAGATATCTGAAAAAGGAAACTTTGTTGCTAGACTTGTTTTTAAAAGAAAGAACATGTATTCAGAAGCTCTGTTGCGTGCTTTCTATAAAACAAATGCCCTACTGGAACAGTTACATGAGAAGACGAATTTGATGACTGATTCGATCAGAAATTTTAAACAGGCAGTGGGAAATTTTGAACAGGCAGTGGGAAAATATATGGAGCCCACCCAGGAATTAAATCAGGAGTGTGCCCTGACAGAACAGATGAGGGAAGAGGATGTTGCTGAATCTTGGGCGCCAGAGATGGAGGGAGCTGTGGCCCAACAGGAACATGAGCTTTTGGATTTGACAAATGAACTTGGAAAAAGCCAGATTTGGAAAGAAAAAGTTTGGTTTGGTTTGGAAATGGGGGGCTGGATAGACCCCCCTATGCAGGGATGTTTGGACTTTTCAAGTCTGGCAATGGGCCGTGAGATGTTTGGGGTTGTGGGGGCTCCTAATTTTGGTGGGATTTTGAAACATGTTCTTAAATACCACATGGAGTTTAGTGTGGATTATGGAAAAGGGGCTGATCTGTCGAGAAGGGTCAAAAACATTGTTAAGCTGGAGTTCCCACGAGTGAAACGAGCAGGAGACAAGGGAAAATACAGTTATAAATATGAAGAAGAGCTGCGGAAGGGACATGGAAGAGACTTAAGGGCCTCGGATACAAGGTTACCAGGTTAATGCGCTAGATCGATGGGATAATAAGGACTGACAAACCCGGGACCAGGAGGAAGGGACACTGGATGAAGATTGGATTGTTTTTATTTCTTTTTTTACTACTAGGATTGTTTTATAAAATTGATGAATGTTAGAAAAATGTTGGAATGAAATTACTTGGCTTTAGTAAAAATGTGTAAAGAATTACGTAAGAATATTATGGTTATGAGAAGTTGGTAAAAATAAGATTTAGGTTTTAAGTTATAAGGTTTTTTATAGTAAGATAAGATTAAAATAGTTTAAGGTAATGTAATGACAGAATATTATGAAATATGGAAAGGATTTGCTGCGACAATTAACAACTAGGATACAAAAAAAGGGAGGAGGAGGAGGTCAAAGAAAGAAGGTAATGACAGTTGAGGATTTGTGAATAATGGATTTATTTTTAAATGTTTGTGGTATATTTTTGTTTTTTTTGAATTTGTATTGTTTGATGTGGTTTGGTTTTTTTTTCTTTGCTCTTTCTTTTTTCTTTCTCTACTTTGTTCTTTTTTGTAATTTTAAAAAAATTTCCAATAAATATCATTAAAAAAAAAAAAAGAAACCTGTGGCCCTCCAGATGTTGTTGGGCTCATATTCCAGCATTTCATGGGGCTGGACTAGATGACCCTTGGGGTCACTCCCAACTCTACAATTCTATGATTCCATCTCCCTATCAGCCTAAAATGGCTAATTGTCTGGGATGAAGGGAGCTGCAGTTCATCATCAACATCATCAAAAGAGTAATAGCTTCTCTATTCCTGAAGTAGACAAAAGGACTGGAAATGTTCAGGGGGAGGGGGGTTTCTTTGTTTCCTCCCTCCCAGGTGCCCCCCATTCTTACAACGGAAAAGGGGAGAAAATCTGAGGGAACATCGAAGAACATCCTATGGAAAGGTCTTCTCCTTTGGAATGAGTGAAATGCCTTTGCTAGAGAAGGTCTTACTCATCCAAAATGTTCAGTATGAAAATTGTTGTGCAAGACAATCTACTGCATTAGAGGATAATTTCTGTGTAAACTTGCAGTCATATATGATGTTCAAAATCGTGTGTGTATGTGTAATTTGCATTTAGAGGAGGTTGGCATCTTTATGACAGGAGTACAAGCTGTTGTGAATTGCTGCTTTCCTTGTTCTGGTGACCTCTGATCTAGGCCCCATCTAAAGCATACATTTAAAACAGTATTATACCACTTTTAACAGTTATGGATTCCCTCAAAGAATCCTAGGAAATCTAGTTTAAGGGGATTAGCCACCTCCTTTCAACTCCCAGCCCTACTAAATCCCCACAGTTCCATGGCAAGAGGAACAGTTAAACCACTCTGGAAGTGGTTGGAAGTGTAAGAAAAATCTGCTATCCTTCTAACCAGATACCTCCCTCCCTTGGGGGTCAATCTTGTCACCTCTCTTCCCCCACATACCTTTCTAGAAGGCGTTTATACTTTTGAGGTTGCAATCCTACCTGGGAGTTAAGTCCACAAAACACAACACACATTATTTCTGCATAAGATTGCTCAGTAAATTCCATAAATACAGTAGAATTCTACAGATACCATCTAAGTCTCCTTCGGCCAAAAACAGTTGTATTTGTTAGTGATATTCACAATGCAGCTATCAGCCAGGTTTAAACAAGCATTCAGGTGAAGCCTTCCCTTTCAATAGAGAAACAGCCAACATGGCTTAAAGGTGGTCATCACAGTCTGACAGGCAATGCTTGCTGAAAGGTACATTACCCAGGAGACAAACAGACCTAGTTTAAAACTCAGGTTTAAAAGCTGCCTATTTTATGCACTGGGTAGTAAGGAGTTTTACAATTTCAAAGAAAAAATAAATAACCTTTTTTTGCAGCCAATCAGAGTAATACCCACAGCTAAAGAGAAAGACTCTGCATGCATTTGTTTGTAAGAACAGTACAAAATAAGGTTCTAGTTGCAATCAGATCTTAGCGCACCAAGGAACTGGTGGCAATTCTCGTGCATATAAAAGTGTAGCTGAAGAGCACATTTTCAATAGAGCTGATGGTTTAATTAAGGCAGACATTAACCAAATTGATTTAGTATTTCCATCTGTCCTATTGAGCATCTGAAGTCTACAGACTTAGCATGCTTAAAAGGTCATATATATCTATACTTGCTTTATTCTACAAGTTAAACTGCTCTTGAAATCAACTGATAACGGTTAAGAGATGAACAGGCCTGTATTAAGCTAACAGCACAAACCTGCCAAAAACCAGGCACTTTTAAATCCCCCTGAAATCAAGGAGATTAATTTAAGCATGTGTATCTTCCACTCAAGTCACTACTAAGTTCACCTACTCCCAACTATTATTGCGCAGCAGCAAACTATTGTTTTAATATAGCTACCATCTGAAGCCATGGTTTGTTGTTGACTTACAAACCATGGCCTTCTAAAACTACGGCATGGCATCGCTTGAGAACCTGGCACCCTTTCTTAAACAGTTTGGACACTCTGTCCTGTCCCAGGAAGGTTAACAGGCTACAAGCGAATGAGACAAGAACAGCTGGAAAACAAAACAAACTTTCCATGCTGAAGGTTCCAGGTTCAATCTGTTATCTCCAGTTAACAGGATCACATAGGAAGTGATACGGAAAACCTCTTTCTGAGACCCTGTAGAGCTGCTACAGTATGAGCAGATAGAAGCTTGACTGTCAGACAGCTTTATGTACCGTATTTTCCGGCGTTTAAGATGACTGGGTGTATAAGACGACCCCCCAACTTTTCCAGTTAAAATATAGTGTTTGGGATATACTCGCTGTTTAAGACTACCCCTCTTCCAACACACACCAAATAAAAATTTAAAAAACCAGTCTCCAGTCCGTCTCAGAAATCCGCTCCACTTTCCAGTGGCCGGGGGCTTCTGGGGCCAATTTTCAAGTGTATTTCTGCTTTATCTAGAGAGCTTGGTTTCCTCTGATTTAATTTGCTGTCATTTTATCCTTTGGTGGGGAGTTGCTGCAGGAGCTGCTGCTGTAGTCGGCGTATAAGACAACCCCCAACTTTTGAAAAGATTTTCCTGGGTTAAAAAGTAGTCTTATACGCCAGAAAATACAATATTCACCATTTGCTACTGAGTCCTCCTCATTTGCTAACTGAACCATTATTTTTCTATAATAATTATCTTTTTGTACCTCACTGTTTTAAGTTTTTATTCCTTATTGGTTTTGCGCAGTATTTGTAGTTCAGCAGATTTGCTCTAAATCATTTTAAAATTAATGATCGAAAATGGATTGCCTGCTTTGTAAAGTTCATTTTTCATTATCCCTTAATGAATCGCTTCATAAATGAAACGACATAATTAATAAAAAACAGAGCTTTTACTTAACATCTCTCCCTTTCTCTGCTTGCTGTCCTACTATACCAGGAGGCAAAGCAAGCACACCTGGGGAAATGGATGGGGTTCTTAAAATAAGAAATCACCGTGCTCATTGCAATGTTGGGGCTGTTATGTCAGAATAACTTACCAGACACATTAATTGACGTTCCTGCATCTATAATCCCACTGTTGGGTCTTACGCAGTATCTGCGTGGTGCTGTGGTCTTCACCTTGAAGCACACATTTCTGTCTGTAGGGTTGCCAAGTTTCAGGTTCGTGGTGACGACGTCTGTGAATGGGCCTGCGGGACGAGACAAAGGACACGTCAAAAAGTTTTCCAAATATTTCAGAAAGTACCTTGGGCTTTTCTATTCCTACAGATGTGTGCACCTACCAGGAGGCTTGAGCTCAGAGTTCGAAATTAGCCAGGTGCCAATAACATTTTGAACCTGGCTATCGCCTACCTGCGACCAAGTGAAGGTGCCCCGACTCCACGATGGCGCCTGACATCTCCACCATCTGGAGGTTTATGGATCTTGACCATTTTCACACACTAGCAACACTTCCTTGTAGAATTCTATTTGTTATGTTTTACCAGCAGTGAGAGATTTTACTTTCTTGGGCTCCATGATCACTGCAGATGGTGACAGCAGTCACGAAATTAAAAGACGCCTGCTTCTTGGGAGAAAAGCAATGACAAACCTAGACAGCATCTTAAAAAGCAGAGACATCACCTTGCCAACAAAGGTCCGTATAGTTAAAGCTATGGTTTTCCCAGTAGTGATGTATGGAAGTGAGAGCTGGACCATCAAGAAGGCTGATCGTCGAAGAATTGATGCTTTTGAATTCTGGTGCTGGGGAAAATCTTGAGAGTCCCATGGACTGCAAGAAGATTCAACCTATCCATTCTGAAGGAAATCAGCCCTGAGTACTCACTGGAAGGACAGATCCTGAAGCTGAGGCTCCAATACTTTGGCCACCTCATGAGAAGAGAAGACTCCCTGGAAAAGACCCTGATGTTGGGAAAGATGGAGGGCACAAGGAGAAGGGGACGACAGAGGACGAGATGGTTGGACAGTGTTCTCGAAGCTACAAACATGAGTTTGACCAAACTGCAGGAGGCAGTGGAAGACAGGAGTACCTGGCGTGCTCTGGTCCATGGGGTCACGAAGAGTTGGACACGACTAAACAACAACAACCAGCACAATCAGAATGAATTTCAGGAAACAAACAACAACAAAAAAGACTTTCAAACCATCTGGCCCAAAAATGGCAACTAGGCATTCCGTTTTGGAGACTGCAACCCTGGTTTAAGGAGCTTATAAATCTGAGCTTCTAACACTGCCTCCTGTGTGCTGGGACCCCATGACAGACACACAAGAGGCAAGCCAAGTTATCATTCCTTCTATTTTTGTGGTTCAGACTGTGTGTGGCACTACTTAGGTTGCCAAAATAGCACAAAGGTCTGCACGATCCAACATTTGCAGAGCTATTTTTTTAAAAGAAAGAAGAAACCCTACGGCAGGGGAGGAGGGCCAAAAAGACTAGAAAGGACTGAGCATGCAATATGTGGTATAGAATAATGGTTGAAGGAAACCAGGGACGTGGTGGGGAGAGGGTGGAATTGAGTGACCTGAACCTGTACCAAAACACTCTGCAGCACAGCATTTTGTTGCAGGCCCCCAGTTGCTGACCCCCTCCCGAACTGTAAAATGGGGATGAGGCCAGGGCACAGGCGCATTTCTAGCGGCCACCCCAGTGAATTAATAGCTAAGCTGACCTCTGGCCCCATAACTTCCTGGCTCACAACCCTTGCTCTTTACTGTGCAGCACCAGCACTTGATTCCATTTGTGTATTGCGCCGGCAAATGTTTTCTAGAGCTGCGTTTAGACGTATGAGGTTCCCAACTTTAAATAGCAGGGTATGCAAAGCCTTGTTAGCACCAGTTATAAATAGCCCCCAAGTAAACTATATTATAACTCAGCTTGCAGATTCTCCAAGTTTCTAAATGGGATGTTGCTATTATGGGCAGATATGAAAGGTCAGGAGTTAATTACTTCTCTGGTCAATAGCTGAAGGAAGCTGCCAGAGGATAAAATTTCAGGTATGACTTCTGACTGCAGTTTAGATTTTTATGAGTTCCCTTCTAGCCTAGAACTGTTTTGGTTTATTTTATTTCATTTTTGTGCTTCCTTATGAGAAGATGCACAAAATTTGCACCAGACCACGCAAGTTCATCTTACGTACAGTGTTACCTCGGGTTAAGTACTTAATTAGTTCTGGAGGTCCGTTCTTAAGCTGAAACTGTTCTTAACCTGAAGCACCACTTTAGCTAATGGGGCCTCCCGCTGCCGCCGGAGCCCGATTTCTGTTCTCATCCTGAAGCAAAGTTCTTAACCTGAAGTACTATTTCTGAGTTAGCAGAGTCTGTAACCTGAAGCGTATGTAACCCAAGTACCACTGTACTGTAAAAAAACCAAAGCAACACAAAAAAACCCCTCATTATTTTCCCTAACATTGCAGAATTTTGATCAAGATTGGCCGCTAAAAGGTATATTAAGAAGCAACAGCATACTCGCAGATAGATATGCTTTCTGCATGTGGTTAATAGATTCCCTAGGAAGAAAACAAAATGGAGCATTCTTCCTTTCCTTTCAAAAAGCTCCAAGTAGGCACATGGCAGAGGTTTATAAAATTATGAGCAGCATGGAAACAGCTGGTATTCTCTCCCTCTTTCCCCGGCAATACTTGAAGTTAGGGGAGGCACCCTATGAAAGCTATTTGCTTAAGAATCGGGTCAATTGACTTATGGAACTCATTACCACAATATGTGGAAACAGTCGCTAGTTTCATATGGTTTAAGGCTAGATGCTGGGATTAGATGAGGGCTGTTGCCTTCTTGTTTGTGCGGTTCCCAAAAACATATGGCCAAATGGATTTATTTTTAGTCTCACCCAGCAAGACGAAGTCTTGTGTTCTTTAATCCGCAGCACTGACGGCAAGCTAGGCGAGACAGGTTAGTCTTAACAACTAAGCAGTATATATGAAAGAAAGCCTTGCGGGGCCCACCACCACCGATCCTATTTTCTTTGTTGCAATTTATTGTATTAATAAAAAAATTATACGGACTTCACCATAAGGTCCCAAGGTGGGTTTCAATAATACACAATTATAGACAAAATTAGAACTGATCCACCCAGAAGAGAATGGTATAAATAATGGCTGTAAGTGTATATTTAACGTAAATCATAATCCTCTGGACTTTTAATCGGATGTTATTGGACACAGTGGACCGATCTCTGTGTCACGCTAAACTGTGGTCAATAAGTAGAAGCTAGTTTTCAGTCTGCAGTGTGGATGCCATCAATTCTTACCTAGCAACGAAAATCAAACTGCACAGTGCAGCCTTCCTTCCAAACAGGAATAGGTAAAGCACAACCACACACAAATCCAAGTCTAAACAAAAATATGTTATGTTTCTCCAGGAGAAAATAATGGGGCTCTATGCATCCTTTGTCTGAAGGCCCAGACTCATTCTAGAAAACTTGTTTCGCAGGAGGGATTTAAACAGCCATGGCTCACTCACTGCAAAGAATCCTGGGAACTGTAGCTTGATAAAAAGGGTGCTGAGAGTTGTTCTCAGATTCCTCTCTCAGACCTACAATTCCCAGAGTTCCTTGGGAAGACAGACTGGTTGTCAAACCTCCCTGAAAATGGTGAGGGGAACACGGGTCTTGTAACACCCGTCACCACCTATAACAAACGCCACGTTAACCTACAACAAACACACTGCCATAAAAGTTAAAAATGACAAGAACTGAAGGGTATTTTGGGGTGGGGTGGGTTGGGACCTGGCTATCAGCTAGGCTTTGGTCAAGAGAGCAAAAGGACATATTCACACCCTATTATATTTTTCTGAGAAATTTTATAGACTACAACAATAGTTAGCAGCCCAGAAGCCGGCGAACAATTCCTCCAAAAAGAACAAAGAATACTGCATAATTTCCAAGTCTGCCACAGTTCATTTTGTACTTAATATACCAGCGGCGCATCAATCTAAACTAACCACTTTGTGCAGTGGCATTACAGAACTGCATATATTTTCAAGTAAAACATGTGCTAAAGGAACTATGGCAAAAGAACATTATGTCTATTCTAAAAGTTCAAAGTCAGCCACACAGCCCAAACAGTTGAGACCTTTGCACACTCTTACAAGCGGGCTTGGGAAAGGGCTATAAGGGGGCTTTGTGGCAGATGAGTCAATGTCCGCCAAGCTTGAAAGCCGCTACTCTGGACTACCTCTACTGACAACAGCACTAAAACAATTTTTTAAAATCACCACCGACGACAGGAGGTCGGCACAGAATCCGTAGCTAAATGCTTTCGTATTTTAAGTGAGGCACTTTCTGTATTTTTTAAAAAAGGAGCAAGCTAACACATCAATATAGACAGACAGTACTTAATGCATCATGCATTAAAAATAAGAAGCCGCGTTATATACCTCTGCTGTAATTCTAGCCAATGGGTGGTATTCCAAGTACCGTGTCCCAACTGTACAAGGATTTCCTCTTGCACAACAGGCCTCCCCCCTTCATCACAGCTGGCACCCTACCCAAGTCTTTTCCAGGGGGTATAGGTAATCCCATGCAGGAGGGAGGGAGTGGGAGACAAGTAGAAATCGTCACGCTGGTTAAATGTTCACTTAGTGCTATTTTGGATTCCACCCAACATGCCTTACTGTTGGATTGTCTTGCTAAAGATCTGCCTTTCACGAACTGACACCCTCTTGCTGTGCTGGTTGAGGCTCATGGAAATTGTAGTCCAAATCACTAGGCTGGGAAAGGCTGGTACGGACTGTAGGAAGGCATCCCAGGAATACATACGGGAGTTGTGGTTTTTCCACCTGCAACTGCAACAGAGCCTTTGGCCCTTCCTTGTAATTTCCTGCAATGTGCTGCAGGGAGGGTATATATGCATGATGGGACTGCGACTGCATGTAGAGAAGAGGCACCCTTTTGCTCTCATTTCTACCAGTTAATATGTCAGTTTCCATATAGTCATCAATCTAGCCAGCATAGGCTTTGCATCCATGGTTTTTAAACTAGAGAAAATGAGCAGGGATTGTGGGGAGGGGTAATGAAATTCACGTTTATGCAGGGCTCTTTGGTGCAATGGGTCAGTGCGCCTGGCTTGGTGGTTCGAGCCCATTCGGGGGCAGCTGCAGGCAGGATTCCTGTATTGCAGGGGGTTGGACTAGATGACCCTCGGGGTCTCTTCCAATTCTGATTCTATGCACACACATGCCATCATTTAGCATCTCTAAAGCTGTGTGTGACAACTTTTCGCCTTCGCCTTGCATCTCTGGAGACGCATGTAATTAAGCCGGCGTCAGCATAATCTTATCCTAAGAACGTTGTGAAACGGGAAGCCAGGAGGATATGCAAAATAACAATTTCTGCAATTCCTTTGTTGGGAAATGTTCATTCGAAATATGAAAAGCTTAAAATCGCAAAGAGAGAATGGTAGTCTGCCTCTGCCTTTGTCATCTGCCACCAACTTAAAATTTCATACATTCTAGTTGCCAGGCGTATTTCAGAGCAACATGCAGATTCTACACCCACCTAAGTCTATGTGGATCAGATCATGGCTCGCCACACAGCTCTTGATCACAAAAGCTGCATAATGAGAAGGCTAAGGGTCTGCCACCCCAGATAGTACATGAACCAGGTTTTGTCTGAACATATGGCCCATCATCCACTCTACAAGCCATGCAGCGACACCAGTCTTCACCAACATTCATGCTGATTGAGGCTGATGGGAGTTGTAGTCCAAAACAACTGAAGGGAATCAGGCTGGAGAAGGTTGAGCTACAGCAGAGGAGTACATGGGGAAATGCTGAACCACTTTCACTTAGAACACAGGAATTGCATTGCAAAGGCTATTTGCAAAAGGAAAAAAAGAGAAAGGACAGTGATTCATCGAAGAGAGTTCTTTCCAGTTAAACAAAAGGAAACACTGCATAGGACAGAACCACAATTAAAAACTTAAGCCACAATTTCTACATTCAAACCGGAAAGGGAAAACATAAAAAAACACAAACTGAACATGATTAAAATGCCAAACTTGAAACGCTGTGCATTGTTCTGCAGTTTATTTACTCTGGATTGATTAATCCTTTTCCACTTAAGTCCGCTAGATGCACAGCCTCTGCTTGGTAGCAAAGCGTCCCACCCAGCGCTGCCCTCTCCCCCAGTTAAGACTTTCCTTTGGAAGAACACAATGGAAACTCCAATGGACTTTTCCTACATATCTAAAGAACAAACAAAACAAGTTTTGTAAGCTCAAAATTCCTTGGAGCAGGAGTGGGCAGACTTCAAAGAGAATCTATGTTGTTTGCATTAAAACTCATAGGTCCACCAACCAAAGTAAAGGACCCCTGACAGTTAACTCCAGTCGCAGATGACTCGAGTTGCGGCGCTCATCTCGCTTTACAGGCTGAGAGAGCCAGCGTTTGTCCGCAGACAGTTTTTCTGGGTCATGTGGCCAGCATGACTAAGCCGCTTCTGGTGCAACAGAACACCGAAACCAGAGCAGTGCACTGGAAATGCAGTTTACCTTCCCGCCGGAGCGGTACCTATTTATCTACTTGCACTTTTTTGCATCCTTTTGAACTGCTAGGTTGGCAGGAGCTGGGACAGAGCAACAGGAGCTCACCCTCAGACCACAGCGCCACCTGCGTCCCTACCCACCAACCAAAGGCAGATGCAAAAAATAGGGGAGACACAGAAGTAAGGAACATATCCTGCCTTAGCACAGCCTCAAGAGTTGGTTTTAGTACCAGAACTGGGCTCACCATCTTTTCACCCAAACTTCCACTCCCAATCGTTCACAGTTATTTCCATTTCTGAGAAATAAAAATATGAGGATCAAAAACGCCTGGGAATTTACTGCAAATCATTCAGAAATTTACCAGTAGATCCTGGTGTGTCTTCTGCCCATCTCTGCCTTAGGGGGCTGCTGGTTATTTGGCAACATCACTTTAGGGAGATAACGCGAAGGTGATGAGATGCCTCACCTGTCACCAAGGCGGAAGCAAACACTCCTAGGAAACCGTCGTGTGCAACTCAAAATGGCAATCTCCCAATATAATTTATCCGGTGCATTTTGGACCAGCAACACAGCTGAGTGGGACTCTAACAACTCTGCAACACAAGCAAAAATAGCCACCCACACAGCAAAGTATGCACAAGTTTCAAAAGTCTTCCTTGCTTAGGTTTCGGTTTCAAACAAACATCTGTTTCGGGTTTTGTTTTGTTTTGAAAAAAAGGATTAACGTTTTAGATTCCATAACTGGGCTGTCCTATTCGCTCACAGGATATGAACTGTATGTATGTGTAAGAGTTGGAGCAGTATTGTGTAATCTCTCAGTGTTTAAGGTGTAAGAGAGACTTCAAGGCCCAGATAAACAGGCTGGGGCAGCCGTCCCCCTATGTAACACAGACATGCGAAAAAACGCGGAGCAGCTTTTCTGACCTTGGTACCCATCAGATGTTTTGGACTACAACTCCCATTCGTTCCAGCCTGTGCAGTCTTGATGCCAGGTACTGATCTGAGTTGTAGTCCAAACATGGGCAAAGGTAAAGGTAAAAGGTAAGGTAAAGGACCCCTGGACGGTTAAGTCCAGTCAAAGGTGACTATGGGGTTCTGGCACTCATTTTGCTTTCAGGCCGAGGGAGCCGGCGTTTGTCCACAGACAGCTTTTTTGGGTCATATGGCCAGCATGACTAAACCACTACTGGTGCACGGAGGACCGTGACGAGTGCCAGAGCGCACGGAAACACTGTTTACCTTCCCGCCGCAGTGGTACCTATGTATCTACTTCCACTGGCATGCTTTCAAACTGCTAGGTTGGCAGGAGCTGGGACAGAGCAACGGGAGCTCACTTCATTGCGGGGATTCGAACTGCCGACCTTCCGATCAGCAAGTCCAAGAGGCTCAGTGGTTTAGGCCACAGTGCCACCTGTGTCCCTACCCAGAGGGCACCAGGTTGAGGAACAAATGGCCGTGAACCCGCCAAATCCCTGCCCTTTGCAATATTATTTATTAAGTATTAATCACAAGTCGATGTACAATATAAGGTAACCACATTTCAAATGCAAAACACTCGGGTTTCAAATGCAACTTGCAGTAAGGCACTCAGCTCTGGCGAACACACACACAAAAATGTGCCACAGTTCATATGCAACACCTACCCACCCCCTACAAGCACCACAAACTTAATCTTTAAAACTAACTTCACACAAAGAAGCAGCCAATATAAGAGGTCTGCTGATACAAAACGGTTTTTGCCTGGCACTGAAATCATTATATAAGAGTTGGTGCAAGGTAGACTTCCCCAGGGGGAGCATTCCAAACATTGGGGAGGGGGCAACAGCTGAAAGGGGCTTCTCCCTTGGCAACACCTTTAAACCTTTTTGGAGAGCGAAGGAATATACTGTTTAGAAAAGATTCCCTCACCCGTCACCAGATTCCTACTCAATTGCAGCAACCAGGCAAATTCATACTTACAAGTCTGATGTGGTAAAATCTTTCAAACACATCAAGTGCACTGGACCACTTAAGTATAAAGTTATTGTCAGATATGTACGGCAGCACTAGGCCCAATATTACCATTGTCTACTTCATAGTTGTGCAGCATGTTCTAGGATGGAGGGTATGTCCTGCTGGCTTCACTAAAACAGCTCCTCATTCATAAAAAGAGAGAGGCATTCAAGCATGCAATCTCATGGAAGCTCTTTGCACTCATCACTGTGGCAGCTGCCTCACCTGTCACCAATCCCTGTGTGTACAATGTTGTACAATTGGCTTTTAACCTGGCCAGTGTTTCCCAAACCTGGGTCTCCAACTGTTGTTGGACTACAACTCCCATCATCCCTAGCTAGCAAGACAAGTGGGTCATGGATGATGGAAACTGTAGTCCAAAAGCAGCTGGAGACCAAAGTTTGGGAAACACTGGCCTAGAGCAGAGCTTTCCAAACTTTTCATGTTGGTGACACACTTTTTGAGACATGAATCATTTCGCGACGCAGTAATTCAGTTCTGCATCGTTTTGTGACACAGTAATTCAGTTTTACTAGCAGACCGGAAGTTAAACTAACCCCTTTCCAGCCCCGGGAGGAGCACGGGGAGCATTCGTGCAACACGCCAAGACGCTAACTTGTCGTGACGCAGTTTGGAAAGCTCTGGCCTAGAGGAACTTCCAAGCCTTTCCCCACGTTCTGCTAAAGAAGGAGCGTCAACCTTTTTACACCAGAGACCTACATTAAACACAAAGGACGGAGGCCACCATTGGAGTATGTCATGTGCTGAAGAACATGGCAAAACAAGACAGCCATCTGCACCACTTGGACTGATCTAAACCCATTGCACAGTTGTAGTTATTTTATTTTGAGGATTTTTATTTTATTTATTTCACAACCCTTTCACCCAAACTTGTCTGCTTCTCTGTTCATTGCATTTTATTTATTGATTTATTTATTCGCAGGCGGGGGAAGAATGATGGGTGTTTGTCACCATTCTGGGAAGACTCAACCCACCCAGAGTTCTCCTGCATGCACAGACAGCATATGGGGTGTGGTCACAAAAGGCTTTGGAGACACTCAGTCTGCATGCACACCATACATTTAAAATACAGTGGTACCTCGGGTTAGGTACTTAATTAGTTCCAGAGGTCCGTTCTTAACCTGAAACTGTTCTTAACCTGAAGCACCACTTTAGCTAATGGGGCCTCCCACTGCCGCCAGAGCACGATTCCTGTTCTCATCCTGAAGCAAAGTTCTTAACCCGAGGTAATATTTCTGGGTTAGCGGAGTCTGTAACCTGAAGCATGTGTAACCTGAGGTACCACTGTAGATGACTTTCCCCAATGAACCCTGGGAACTGTAGTTTAAGGGTGCCAAGAATGGAGGACTGACAAAGCCCATTCCCCAAATATTTTCTATGCAACAGAGCAAACTAGCAAGGCCTGTCCCCCTGGCTATAAAGCAGTGCTTTAAATGATTTGATGTTCCTTGTTTTCATAGGAACCAACAAGGCTTTTCCTCTTAAGTTTGCAAGATTTACACTTGAACCTGTGACAATCCAACACGAGTGGAGAACATAGGAAACAACTTCAAGGCTCGGGGTAAGAGAATAAGCAGAGAACAGAAGGACAGTTACAGGCATATATTGTGCTATTCTGTCTGAACAAGGGGGGGGGGACCCATTGTTCAGTACAATGATTTTAACAGTTCTGGTTGTGCTTACAACTTTTATCTGGCACAAGCACTCAAAGGACAGCCCTGTGCAGAAGCAGGAAAAGCAGAAGAAAGGAGGTTTCTGTTTGCTGGCTTCTCTGACTGCTCATTGACCATTCCCAGTACAAAGCTGAGATAGCAAATAGGACAGTACCATCTTGGGCAGAAACTAGGAAAGGCTGTTTTCATCCATACAGGGATCTTTTGCCCAACATGGGGCTCAAACCCATGAACCCCGAGATTAAGCGTATCATGCAGTATGGAATGAGACATCCCAGCTAGGACTTCAATGTGATCTATGAACATTATCTACACAGGAGCCAACTGCAGGCGGGCATCCGGGTAATTTTATTAAGCCCCTATGAGCTGCACTTTCAGAATGCAAAAGACGACTTTGCACTGCTACTTGGGCTTGAGGATTCTCTGTCAGCATCGCCCTTGAGCCAGTGCCACCGACTGGACTCATTCACTTCAGCCCCGACTGGGCTAGGCGAGCTGGGTAGCACTTCCAGAGACCACCTTCTGCACAGGAACAGGTCAAAGTGCTGTGGACTCACTGCTTAGAGTTGTGAGCACCGGATTCACTCCAACAAGAAGACAGTCGTCGCACAGCAGAGTACAACAGAGCATAAACAACTCGAGAGCAGCTCTGTAGAATATCTTCTTTTATTCTATCTACAACTATAATACACAACTATGTACAGAGCTAAATGAGGTCTAAGCAAAAATGCTGAACTGCACTGAGTGTCTGCAGCTGCTCTTAGCAGCAACCTTATCTATACACACAATCTCTAACACTCAGTCTCTCTCTCTCCGACACACCGACTGACTGACTGATGTTAGGCTGGAGCGGAATAAGTAGAGAGCAGAACACCGCCCCTCCTCTCTGGAACATCACCAGACTCATCGGCAGATTCTTGGATATGGGAGGGGTGAAATCTCCTCATTCTCAACACTTTACTGCTGATGCGGGCGTGTTTGTTAGATGGTTCCCTGCGCTAAGGCATGGACAGCCAGCTTAAGGTATGGGAGGCACAAGCAACCCAATCACGGCACCCCAAGACATGAGAACGGGCGGTGAAAAGGTAACACAACCAGATATGCAGCCCAGAAAATGGCTGCCCAGCAGTGGACCAAGCAATATTGTCACCGAGATTTTCTGCTAGTTGTAGCACCGTTAGAAGCTTTAACCGAATGAAGGTTTACAAGTTTCAACCGTTCCCCCTTAAGGGGAACTACCACCTCTGCATGAATGTAAGTATTCAGGCAAGCTGCAATTCGTATTAGTGAAATCTAAGGTGGTGGCTTGCATTAAGATACTTCCTCCCCTTTGGAACGAGGGGCTTCATTAGCCAAGCATGCAAGACAAGGTGGGCAGATGGCAGAGAAGGGCCCACAATCTAGTTTTGTGTTGGAGAACCTAGGTCAGGGTTTCCCAAACTTGGGTCTCCAGCTCTTTTTGGACTACAACTCCCATCATCCCTAGCTAGCAGGATCAATGGTCAGGGATGGTGGGAATTGTAGTCCAAAAGCAGCTGGAGACCCAGATTTAGGAAACCCTGACTGAGGCTATAGTTGCTTATTGCTGGGAGACTTGCAAAGTTGGAACTCTGTCTAATATCCAGGATGTCACTTCTTAAGAGTGCATGAGGCTTGCTTGTCATATATTACTATTAACGTATATACCTTCCTGTCCCAACACTGGACCCCAAGTTGGCCAACAACCAAATTAAAATCCAGCTTTTAAACTCCTCCTGAAAACTTTTCCATTATGTCAGGTTTATGCAGGCAATTAAGAACATATATCTCCAAAAAAAGTTTATATAGTTTCAAAATTTTATGGTTCTATGTGCTGTTGTTGTAACTACCTTGTTATCTTTTATGAATATTTTTAATAAAATAGAGTTATGTCTTCACAATTAAGAAACTGTTTGTGTACTCTTTGAAAGTTTGACACACTTTTGCAAACAGGATGTTGGTGTGTACATTCCAACATGATACTTATGGAAGGCAGATTTGAGTTGTGCATAAAATATAATTGAGACTGCACATGCAAACAGAGATGGCTGAACTCTCTTATAAGGAAAGAAACAAGCCCTATACAGTGGTACCTTGGTTTACACCCTTAATTCGTTCCGGAGGTCTGTTTGTAAACCAAAACAGGTTGTAACCCAAGGTGCGCTTTCGCCAATGGGGCCTCCAGGAAAAAAAATTGTTCGTAACCAAAAAGAAGAAGGAGAGGGGGGTGGGTTGTAATCCAAAACATATGCAAACCATACTGTTTGTAAACCAAGGTACCACTGTACTGTTAAGAGCCTGATTCTGCAACTTTCTACATCTTCATACATTCAGCTGAAGCAGAATTTATGTATTCACCAGGCCAATGAGATTTTATAAATGAGGCACTCAAGCCCTCCCTCCAGTAACTAGAAATGTTATTTCATCCCACTGCATGCTTCTAAGCTGCCACACTACCTGTTGCCCCGAACGCTTTCAAGCCTATCCACAAGTAATCACAAGAATTAGGCGCTAGCTTCTTCCTTCCACAAAGCTGGAGAACTACCTACAACTACATTGCTGTTTCTACCATAAACACCTCTTTGAAAAGCATTTAAGATGTTGCTATAAACATCCTCTGAGCACAGAAAGCTGGCCTACTCAGGCTTTCAAGCCCTGCAGAAACTGGAAATTATGAAGAGTGTTTTTATGGTATTCAAATTTCAGCTTTCCCGCCTTCCCCATAATAAAATGAAACTGCAACCAGGAACATGCTGTTAAGTGTGTAATTGTTTCCAAGAAGTTTAAAACGAAGTCTAATTTATGGCAGGGGCACTAGAGTCCTCCAGCAAATTCTTGTTGCAGAAACCGCATGGGTTCGAGGGAAAAAACAGGAGGCTCAAAGTGATAGCACAAAAGAAATACTTGATGTGACTACCAGAGAGTGCATCACATACACAGTAAGGATTCTGTCAACTGAGCAGAACTTATCAGCCGTATGACATACCGTATTTTTCGCCCTATAGGACGCACTTTTCCCCCTCCAAGAATGAAGGGGAAATGTGTGTGCGTCCTATGGGGCGAATGCAGGCTTTCGCTGAAGCCTGGAGAGCGAGAGGGGTTGGTGCGCACCGACCCCTCTCGCTCTCCAGGCTTCGCGTAGCTCTCCGCAAGCCCTGGGAGCCCGCGCTGGGCTCCCACGGCTTGCAGACAGTTGCCTGCATGCTGAAGCCTGGGCGTGCTGAGCTCAGTGCGCCCAGACTTCGCGCAGCTCTCCACAAAGCGCGGGAGCCCGGCGCTGGGCTCCCGCGGCTTGTGGAGAGTTGCCTGTTCTGGGGGCTGGGGGAAGCTCGGGCTTCCCCTGCCCCAGCCCCGCACCTGGGGGGGAAATAAATTTGTTTCCCTTTATTTCCCCCAGAAAAAACTAGGTGCGCCTTATGGGACGGTGCGTCCTATAGGGCGAAAAATACGGTACCTGTTGTCTGAATCCAATCTTAAGATTCTGCTACACAATCTAATTTCTGAAGGATGACACAGCTGCAATTCCCCAACGCAGACAATTGTGCCTTTTAAAAAACGTTAAGCTAATGGACAAAAAATGTCTTCAACGTTTTGTCATTTCTGTGACAATCCCATTATCTGACAATATATATTTGATTTTGAATATTCATGGTAAGCAACAGAAGGTTTCTTGTCACTCTCAGGTAGGAAGAAGCAGTTGGTGAGAGAACAAACTGCAACTTTTTCTGTATTGCCTCAGTAGAAGACAAGCTTCTGGCATTGCATTTGGCACTCAAAGACTGTTCTAGCACGTTCTACGCAAAACCTTTGTATTAGACCTGGCCAAATTAAATGAGAAGCAAGTGATGTTGCAGTATTCAGAACTGTTTGTTTTGGAACACCACCACTAAAGTCAACAGGATGATTCCAGAGGAAATGAACCACACTCACTGGGTATTTAGACATTTTACCCAAAGATGTGGATCCATGGTGGGCAAAAGCAGTGTTAGAAACTCAGATATCTAACCTAGGCACCAAATGGCTCCTAAAACCAAGGTTGCAGTCACCAAATCAGAATGTCTAGCTGCCATTTTGGGGCAAGAAGGCTCTAAAGTCTTATTTTTCAAATGATGGACTGACTGTGATTGATTCTCACTTAAACATCTGGATAGTTCAGATGACAACTTTGAGCTAAGTTAAGAACTTTGAGAACTTAAAGAAGAAAAGTCACTTGATCCAGGGACAGTCCATATATATATTGGCCTATTCCAACCTCTTTTCCTTAACGGTGACTGCTCCTGTTCTCAGGCTGCACAGAAAAAGCAATTTTGTTCCAGAAATTCATTCTGATTGTGCAGATAAAATATAACTGATAGAATTCTACAGGATGCTGTACTGACAGATTGCTGGATGGTTTGCAGGAGACAGACATGGGGTTTCTAATTCCCAACTGTTTACCAACAGCAACAAAAACATGACCCCCTCTGCACCCAACTAAGCTGGGCTGTTAAAATCCTGAACCTCTAATAATTCTAATGTCCTCACTCCAGTGCATGGTTCATGGAGCACAGCTAGTTACGGATTCCAGCCCATCTCTCACCAGTTTGCACGCTGGCCTACCCCCAGAGCCATTATTTGGGTTGCACAAATCTGGTGTCTGCCCCACACCCAACAGCCTGCCCGCAGCCACAGACAGAATCAATTCAAATAGCATTACTCACCCCAAAACTGACAAAAACCAATTACTGATTTTCCTTTGCCAAAGAATCCCACACACAGACTCTATAGACATTCACACTCCATGGGTGGGGTGACTTCTCGGTCCTTTCCTGCTTTCATTCAGTGCAAAAAACTACCCCAATTTAAAATGGTCAAGTAAGCAGATCACAACCCAAAGAGAGGGACAAGGAAAATGCTGAACACTCCCATCCCCAGAGCATTGCAGCTTTAACATTAGACTATTGTTTGATGTTGCCAAGCCATGTTGGACGTGTCTGTGAACACACTCTGCTTCTTCAATTATGTTATATCTATCCAACCAACCAACCAACCAACCAACCAACCAACCACCCATCCAAACAGTACTCTCTGGGTCTGGCAGATTTGGGGGTGGCCCCAACCACAGTAATATGCAGGCAAATTCTGAAGCACGCAAACAGAAAATTGGGGATAAACACCCATAAAATGCTTGCACGCTATTATCAGAAAGACCCTAGCTTGGGAAGAAGCTACAGAGTATAATGTAACGTTTGTACTGCATCTCCTGCTGGTGACCATTTAACACACCTGGCAACAAAAGATGTGAAACCCAAGTGACAAACGAGCCTGGGTAGATTAGACCTGCCCAAATTCAGATCAATAGATGCAAAGCTGAAGGTGACATGATAAAAAATATATGAGATGGGGGCTATATAAATATTTTATAAACAAATAAAATACAAATAAATGGCCATGCAATTTTATGTTAGAAGCCAACCAACTCTTAACAAGTCCCCAGTCTCATGAATCTAAATTATCTACAAAGGAGGCTGTAAAACTTTCACGTGGCTGTATTTCTTTGTGGTCAAAATCAAAGGCATCTCAAAAGGTTCGATTCTGCAGTCATGCCATAGGTCAAACCAGAAACTGCACCCTGGCTGCTGCCCTAAGCACACCTAAAATAGGGTTGTGCATTAGATTCTGATAAACCCCATTCCCCCAAGAAATAGTTATGGATGCTTACTTAAAAAATAATAAACCAAAACTTTCACAAAAGCCTTTTTGGCATACTGATGTAAATGATTAATCAAATCATTTTAAGAGAAGAACAGTAGATCTAACCTAAAGGGAATTTCTTCCAGCACCTCTGAAACCCAGATACTAATGCTAATAATTTCATTATTTATACCCTGCCCATCTGGCTGGGTTGCCCCGGCCACAAATACTACATATTCGTTTACAATTTTGTATGACAAATCAGAGCTAGCTGCTTCACTTGTATTTTCTGCAAGTTTTACTCCGTTAGACTTTTATAAAATCTTTTTTGCAATAATGCACTCTCTACCATATTTACTAAAATGCAATCACATCAAGAAGACCTCCTAAAAATTAAGTTTATCAAAGAGAATGGCCTCTTCGGAACACTGCAATTTTCTGAATTCTGCAACTGAAATACCCTACTGCAACCTAAGTGCTCTGGACTACAAGGCCCATGAGCCTCTGCCAACTCCAGAATCACATGGCCATGCTAAACGGATGTTGTCGTTAAAGCAGCAAGTGTACCTGAAATAATAATGTACTAGTCTCCTTTTACCCTTGGCTGCAATTCTGTCCCCTTTCTGTTATCTGCGTTATGTCAATTTCTAGATCAGAGGCGGCCATGGTGGGGCAATGCAGAGGATGTTGGACTGTGACTTTCATTAGTCCTAGCCAGCAAGGCCATAGTCCAAGAACACCAGCAGAGCACCACCTTGCTCTAATCTAGATTGCTAGCCCCTTGGGGCAGGGACTCAGAGCTCTCATTCTTTGTAAAGCACCATGCCCATGTTCCATGACCAGAGTTACAACCTTCCTTAAAGGCTGCTGATGAAATCTGGGTGTTAAGAGTAAAGTAAAAAGGTAAAGGGACCCCTGACCATTAGGTCCAGTCGTGACCGACTCTGGGGTTGCGGCGCTCTTCTCACTTTATTGGCAGAGGGAGCCGGCATACAGCTTCTGGGTCATGTGGCCAGCCTAAGCCGCTTCTGGCAAACCAGAGCAGCGCATGGAAACACCGTTTACCTTCCCGCCGGGGTGATACCTATTTATCTACTTGCACTTTGACGTGCTTTCGAACTGCTAGGTTGGCAGGAGCGGGGACTGAGCAACAGGAGCTCACCCTGTCGCGGGGATTCGAACCGCTGACCTTCTGATCGGCAAGTCCTAGGCTCTGTGGGCTAACCCACAGCGCCACCCGCATCCCCTGTGAGTAAAGTAGAGCCCATTAAATCAATTGACTCATGAGAGCTCCAACTAACTTCACTGAGCTCAATGGGCTTACTCAATCTGACTTAGTCAGAAACTACCCTTAATCTTTAACTAATTTCTGGGTGTAGCCAAATACTACTCTTAATCTATAGTTAAATTGCTACATATCCTGACACCCAGCAGACTGAGGGCCATTTTATACATTCTGGAGAATCAAACGGTATAGCTTTTCTGGGGCTGTAATGCTTTGAGCTGTGGGTGAGGGAGGAATTTCGAATGCTCTGCCCTCCCCATCGAAAAACTCCCTAAACACAGGTATGCCAGGGAGAAGCATAGGATGACCCAGTCTTACAACATTCACAGGAGGAGCGTTCCAATATGCAATCTCTGGCCTTAAGTGTTAGGAAGCAGGAGAAGCTTTGCTACTTGATATTCCTCAAGGTATAAAGTGGAAGGAATAGTACACCCATTTATCCTTTGTGCAGGATTCCCCCCCGCCCCCGCCAACTCATCATCAATGGTTGGTTTACCTTTAACATCAGGGGGAAGGATTAAAAAACCCAACCAATACTACTGATTAGACGACCCTGCTAAAAATGCAACACTCAAGACTCTGCTTATTTTCGTTCACCCAGGAAAGTTTAGTCAAGGAGGGTCTCCAGCTGTTTTTTGGACTAAAACTCCCATCATCACTAGCTAGCAGAACCAGTGGTCAGGGATGATTGGAATTGTAGTCCAAAAGCAACTTGAGACCCAAGTTTGGGAAACCCTAGTGTAGACATTTTTGCTTTGTGAAACTGATGGGAGGTGGAAAGAGCCATGCTCACTTTCTCTGCTAAGCAGAAAATTTTAGAACTCGTTTCAGTTCTACATTCAATGACAAGCGATAGCTTGGAAGGAGCACTGCTAAGCCTCAAGCTATTTCTGAAACACCATGCTTGATCTGGGAAAGAAAAGGCTGTTGGCAAGATATATATATATAAAATCCCAGGTTGAATGTTTAAAGTCCCCCCCTTTTTTTGAAGGCAATGAGCTAAATCTCCAGACAGTGGATATTCCACTCAAAACAGGTATTTGTGTTCCACAAGTATTGACACCGCCAACTGTAGAACCCCTAGAAATTTAAGTCTTCTATAGCCACAACCCACCGGAATGTCTCTCTTAAGCTAGCTATAGAAAAAGATCGTGCCATTAAATGAAAAGCAAAAAGCAAATCTGACCTAAAGCTGCACAAAGGATGCATTTCAAAGGAAGTAGTGATGGCAAGCAATGGAAAATTCATGTTCAGCATGCAGAAAACCTCAGGTACCACCCACAGCAGTTCCAGGTACAGCTGAGACAGCCCTCATTCTGAAACCGTGGAAAGATCCTGCCCAAACAGTGCAACAAGGCTGAGCTAAATGGACCAATGATCTAACTCTATGGGCCACACTTTCAGAATAAAGATTTGCTCCAGCCACACCGAATGTTTTTATTGATAAGATTGGAAAACGTAAGATTGGAAAACAAAAATAAACAACTCCCAGCAGTGCTTGGTTTCGAAAAGGTAGCCATCCATATCCAAATAAAAAAAATATTTTGATACTATACTATACCACATGTTTATAAATGTTTATTGAATCTTCCTGCTACACTTCCCATCATCTCCTGTCACAACCCATGAGAACCACTGTCCTAACCTGTTTATGAACAGGAAAGAAAATTGGTTAAAATAGCTTCACCACAGATCTTTGTTTATTGCCTATCTAATTCCATTTGGGGCATGTTTCATCTACAAGAACAGGAAGAGGATCTTGTGCTGTTCTGATAGTTGCACATCAGAATTAGCAGAAAGAAGCTCCAATCCCTGCTGAATCATCTCCCGGGTTTTTTCTAGTTAACATTCTTCCATCTTCACTGCGTGCATGGAATAAACTTTAGATCTTGGTATCCGACAGCTTAATGCTTGCTCTTGATTAAGCAGAAAGACATTTAGCCAGTGATTTCAACGGAAGGGAGCAAAGAGAAATAGCAGCCATATGATAAACTGTCCTAATAAAAATAGCAAACAATTGCATAATCCAAGCTTTTTCCAATTCTAGTAAAAACCCACTTGGGAAAACCCACTTGGAGGAAAGATGAAGAGGTTATGCCAAAAGATCAAAGGCTGTGCCAATTTTCTCCTCTCTCTCCTCCCATCATGCAGGTTTCAGTCAGTCATGTGCAATTGAAATAAGTTAGTGTGCTCCCACTGAACTTACGGAACTTTCAGCAAATAGCTCATCGTACCATGGTAGAACAGGACCATTTTCAATAAAGAGCACATGTCTCAGGAGAGCCTGCCTCCTCCGTTTTTCAGGATGAATGAGAGCCTAGTAAACCTGGAACTGCTACATGGTGCGTTATTCTTTGATGAGGAACACTGCATATTAAGCAAAGGTAACACAAGAAGTTTGGGGATGTACAACTAAGGATGAGGCTCCATGCCACACCTGGAATACAATGTCTCCTACAACCCAGGAAAAGAAGAGGCAGGAATCTTCAGTCATACAACCGGAACGCAGGTGTTCTCAAAGTAATAACCACTCCTGTCTGCCCAAACAGGAAAATCACAGCCTCACCACCACCTATGGAAATACCAGCCTGCAATCATTTCCAATAAGAGCTAACAGCTGTTCTACAACCTGCTGACAATGGTTGCGTACCAGCTGCCTATCAACAGGGTGGAAGAAAATTATCTTTCAATTTACAAAATATTCTGTGACATTATCATCCAGCAGCAATTATTCATTGCCAAAGGTTGGCACGCAAACAGCTATGTGCAAGCCTATGCTGCCTTGTCAAGGATAGGAGACGTGGTCCAACTGCATCTGGAAGGCCACACGTCACTCAGCCTTGAACTAGACACAGCTGTTCACTTTACCTCCATGTTTGGAAGACCTTTCCCCTGTTTCAACTTCTGCATGTGAGCTACTAAAAAGCACAGGAACAGGACAAGCAGAAGGAACTGCTTAGCAACCCTATTCACAGGTCTCTGTACTTATCCAAGGAACTAGCAACTTGAACCATCAGAGAGAATCACCCTGCTTACGTTAACGTAACTGCTAGTCTCCACGGCAATATTTGTTTTCTCTTCCGGCTCACTTCTAATGTATATTAACCAGAACCGCAAGTGTGTTCAAGGGCTTCCAATGGTACTTGCTGTGCTTTTCTCTCTGCAGGCATAAGCAGACAAGTTTGCAGCAGGCTGTTTGGTGAAAGCACAGGGCCATATTCTCTGTGGTGGCACCTAGACTTTGGAATGCCCTCACTTGTGTGAGTCAAGAAGTGAACAGAGTCAGTAGCCAGCTCTAAATGCTTCTTAAAGACACTTAAGTTTATCCCAAGCTTTCATGGCTTCTGATTCCTAACTCATAGGACTTTTTTCTTTTCGTGCACTGTTCACTTTTTGTCTATGGCCTACAGGTTTTTTAAAAAGTTTTATTTGATTATTGCAATTATATGAATTTTAATTATATTTTATGCCAATCACTGAAGAGGGTTTTTATATGTGTGTATTAAGCAGATTATGAATTAAACTTTATGGAGTCCATCAATAACTGCACTGCCATTCAGAAAACATCTTGCAATGCAGAACCCAGTGCCTCCCCAAGAGATTCTGAAAACACAACTTCTTCTGACCTTACAGCTACGAAGAGGAAAACAGGGACTGTCTACAAACCTGTAGGAGAAGGAACAGAAGGGGCTTCCTTATACTGAATCAGGCCACCAGTCCATCAAGTTTAGTACTGTCTACAATGACTGGGAGATCCCCAGGGTTTCAGGCAGAAGTTTCTCCCTGAAGATGACAAATATTGAACATGCATGCAAAATGTAATATGCTCTAGCAAACTCTCCTCCCTGTAAGAAGCTTCTTCACAGCTCCCAGAGCACCCTAATTCTGTCTACTGCATTCTTAATTCCTGCCCGAGCAAGACTTGAGTAAAGACATGTTGGCTGCCCAAGCACCTATATATTTAGCGATGCCACCTAGGAAACCTGAATCACTTTTCCAGCTCTCATTCCCTTGGAGTCTCAAGCCCTTTTTCTCCTCTTATTATTTATTTACTGCACTGTTTTGTAATTAGGACAGAAGTACCTGCTGAAGCACTGGTGACATCTGCCTCAAAGATATGCAGCAATCCTAAGCATTCTTATTTAGAGAAGCCAGATTAAATCCATCCTTTTAAAATTGAATGTGTGGGTGCAAATCTAAACAAATATGCATGGCGTAATAATGTTCACTTCTTCTTCTATATTACAGAGTTGAGTGCTTTTGCTTGCAGTAACGACATGTTTTTGCTTACTCTTTTTTACCCCCAGTAAACAGCAGTTTATTTCCAGCAGAGAACACAGCTTACATATTATGGAAGTGTATGAGGTCTCACCTATTTCATTTTTATACCACCCAAAGTTAAAAACAAGGCCTTAAACTAAATTAGAAAAAACGTACTGTCAATACATGAGAAGGCACTATGACTGTACACAGTGTCAGCGAAGTATGAATTCCTCTCTACAGCATATCTGCACAGATAAAAGTCACAGTCCATTACTTGATTAACAGCAGAGTAATGGGATTACTTTAGAGTAAGCGGGCTAAGAACTTAGGGAAAGCCTATCTCTCTATATAAGAAGCAATTTGAGTATAGGGGCTGCTGCACTTTATTTCTGCTGCATCGCTCCTCAGCACTAATACATGGCAGATGCTATCAACTGCCCATCTATAGTTACATAGGACAAACAGGGCAAATATCTATAGTAGAAAATAAATGTGCCAGAAACAACACAAAAAATCCAGTTTTTTAATATCCCAGGAAATTTTATTTCTCTTGCCAAGGTCAAAGTAAAAATAAAAAGGGCGGATACAGCATGGGATTGGAGTTCATTTGCCAGTTTCACTCAACTCAAACCGGCCTTAATCATCATTTAGGGTGGTTGTCTTACTAGAGACGGCCATGAGATCATGAACAAATTAAGCTCTAACCCAGAATTATTGGGTATGCTAGCACCGATCTATAGCCTTCAGGGTCTGATCCTTATTTACTTCAATTGAGTGCCTAATGAGTCATAGAAAGATGGTATCTCCAAGTTCAGTGTGTGTTTATTTTTAATCTCACCTTACACCAACAGTTCCATCACATATTCATTAGTTCTGTGCGCACACAAGTGTGCCTATATGGACATGCCATGTTTAATGAAGCAGGATTGAGTCTGGACTTGCCTCCACAATTAAACCAGCATTTTCATATTCCTCAGATACATATTATAATGGCTGCTGTCTCACATGCATATGTACGGTTGATGTTTCATCCACATGTTTATAACTGAACTGCAGCGTTCAGTAAAGTGACAACTCTTTTCCTGCAAGGAGACCAAGTATGTGCATGAGGCAATTAGACAAAACAATTCGACCTATTTCCAAATACACGTCTAACTGCAACATCATGTATGTACGTTTGCTCAGAAGTTCAACTGAATTCAGTTGGACTTAGTCCCAAATAAGCATGCATGCACTTATTTAGGACTTACTCCTAAGTAAAGGTGGAGTCTGGGAACAGGAGCAACACCACTGCAAGCAGAAACGTTTCTGATCCACTTTATAAATAAGTCTGCTGGTTGCTGCTGTGTAATCTCACCGTATTGTATTACCAGCAGCCCTGTCCATGAAAACATCAGTGTTTGATTTCTAAAGTATAAACCCGGTATAACACCCTGAATCAGAGGCACGTATTAAAAGGCCTCTCTTTAGTTAGGATTCCAAAAACAGCAGATTTTTTATCTTAACATGCAAAAGGGGGGAAAGGAGGAGTCAGCCGTTTACTGTTACACACTGGGCCAAAGGTCTTAGAATTTATTGCCACACAAAGCGAAACCCGTTCCACACTTTCAGGCAGCTGTAAGGTTGCCGCAGGCAGTTAAAAGCAATGTGACTCAACCCCAGCAAGATAAAAATTCCAATTGTCATTCAGCTACCATCAATTGACAACAGATGCCCACGCAGACTCACCTGGCACTCACTGGCCACAGTGGGGCTTCTGAGTAAGCATGCACAGGATTGCGCCCTAAACCTTTAATCTGTTGCAAATGTTAGGCATGCTTGCCTGACTCCTACTGAACTCAATGGGACTTATTTCCGAGTGAACATAATTGGGATCAGGCCGATCAACGCACCCAGCGCTACCCAGCTCCCTTACAAGTGTGACACGTCATGAAGCGTTATTTGTTGCTGCTGTGCTTCTTCACATCCACAGCACACGCTTCCCTGGGGAGACGACCTCACTGTCCCGACCCCCACCAGCGCGCGATTGTGCAACAACCGTAATTGCATTGACAAGTTTGCAAATGTTTGTTTTTCGTAAGAATCGGGGAGCCTTGTCAAGTTTCCCGAGACGGGTATTCTGTGCCATTCTGCAAACGCAGATCAGCCCCGTCATTGCCGCCGTCAACGAGGGATTCGTAGGCCCCCGCCCAAACCAAGGATCGAGAGATGCTCCCCCATTGCACCGCGGAGCATCTACAGGCTTAAAACTGGGGAAATATAGCCCATTCTGATCCCTCTTGGCTGCTCCCGCTTCTGAAAGGCTGCTGCGCCTGGCAAGGTTTTTCTTCCCCGGGCATCCAGGGATCGAAGCGGAGGAGCAGCACCAGGGCCCGAGCAGGCCCGAGCACAGGGGGAAAGCGCAAATGCAACAAGAAAAACACCCCTCTCTCCGCCTTCTTTTGCACCCGAAGGAGAGAAACGCTTCGAGGGCTCCCTTCGCATCCCCAGCGCCCCGAGCGAGGGAGGATTGCGCAGCAGCAGCAGCCGGGCGATGCCTGCGCCCTGGGGACCCCGGGGAGGCGAAGGCGCGCCCGCCGCGCGCGGGTCCCTTCCTCGACCACGAAGGACATTTCAGCAAGCCCTGCGAGCTGAGCGCGGCCGCCGCTGCTGCTGCTGCCCAACCCCGGCGGCCCCCGGAAAATGGCTGCCGCTGGAGCTGAGCCCTTTCTGGCAAAGCGGCTGCAGCAGAGCGCGCCGCCGGAGGAGCCACCTTGCCTTTCCGTTTCAGAAAAGGAATAACAGTAATAAAATGGGGGAAAGAAACCGGCGGGGGGAGGAAAGGGGAAGGCGAGGAAGCGTCGCATGGCTGCTGCATGGGCGGCCGCCCCCTCCCCGCGCCCTCCTTACCTTTGAATTTCAGCTCGTGCTGCGGTTCCAGACTCAGGACCTGCTCGGTTTTCGCCATGTTGTTGCCGCTGCTGCCGCTCCTCCTCCTCGGCGGTGGAGGCACCAAGCAGGGTTGGAGAGGGAACAGCAATATATATATATATATATATTATATATGAGAGATATATATATATTTATATAAGGTTGCGATTTGGAGGCGGAGGGAAGGAGAAGAATGCACACACGCCAGGGACGCACCCGCGGCTGGTTGGGTAAGAGCTCCTTGCTTAGAGGAGCCTGGGAAGGGAAGGGAAATAAGCGCGGGGGAGGGAGGTGGCGGCGGCGGCGGCTCCGGTTCTAGGGCGGAGGGAGGTGGCACCGGGCGAGAGGCGGCAGCACCCACCGGAGGCTGTTGCACACAGCGAGGGGAATAAGCCGCCGCGCGCGCCCCCAACGCGCACACTCGCTCGCTCGCTCGCCGACGCTGCTGCTGCTGCTGCTTCCCTCCCTGGCAAGGAGGCGGGGAGGACGATGCAGCAATGGCAAAGGGGGAGGGCGGAGAGGGAAGCTGCAAGCTGACGTCTCCAGCCGGCACGGGCGGAGTGGGGGGGGGGAGGCGGCAGCAAGAGGCAAACCCAGCGCTCGGGGAGGCGAAAGGAACGGCGCGCGTCATGCTGGGCGGGGCTTAAAAGGGAGCCGGGAAGAGGCGAGGGCGCACGCGCCGCGGAGGAAGCGCGCAAGGAGCCGCGCGGGGGGCGGGGAGAAGAGCAGAGGGCTTACTCGGGAGAAAGCAGTAGGGGGCCCAGCTGGCATTCGAGTAAATGAGCATAAGCATTGCACACTTTGGGTTTTGTTACATACTCTCGACAATAGGGACGCGTCCTATGCCATTATTATTATTATTATTATTAAAAACTGCTCCTTTTCCCTTATGGGGGTATCCAAGAGCCTGTATAGAGTCTTTAAGTGGATGGTTTTCCCAGTAGTGATGTATGGAAGTGAGAGCTGGACCATAAAGAAGGCTGATCGCGGAAGAATTGATGCTTTTGAATTATGGTGCTGGAGGAGACTCTTGAGAGTCCCATGGACTGCAAGAAGATCAAACCTCTCCATTCTGAAGGAAATCAGCCCTGAGTGCTCACTGGAAGGACAGATCGTGAAGCTGAGGCTCCAATACTTTGGCCACCTCATGAGAAGAGAAGACTCCCTGGAAAAGACCTTGATGTTGGGAAAGATGGAGGGCACAAGGAGAAGGGGACGACAGAGGATGAGATGGTTGGATGGTGTTCTTGAAGCTACCAGCATGAGTTTGACCAAACTGCGGGAGGCAGTGGAAGACAGGAGTGCCTGGCGTGCTCTGGTCCATGGGGTCACGAAGAGTCGGACACGACTAAACAACAACAACCACCTATTGGTAGAAGAAAATAACAGGCCAACCAGAGAATATTGAGAAGCAAAGCAACTAGTAAGCCAGATCTTTATTAAACTGTTGCAACAGGGTCCCCACTTACCACACGCAGGAGGAAGAAGGGACCCAGAACAATGCTGCGCAAGCCCTTGCATAGACTTTTGCAGTGCTTTTCACACACACACACACATTTCGGGTACTCTCATTTTCCTACTCATAAACCACTTCTGGCGCAACAGGACACCATGGCGGAAACCAAAGCACATGGAAACACTGTTTACCTTCCCGCTGTAGCGGTACCTATTTATCTACTTGCACTGGTGTGCTTTCGAACTGCTAGGTTGGCAGGAGCTGGGACAGAGCAATGGGAGCTCACCCCGTCATGGGGATTCGAACCGGTGACCTTCCGATTGGCAAGCCCAAGAGGCACTGTGGTCTAACCAGCATTTCAAATTGTGCCTGGAAATGGGTCTGTAGCTAGTGAAGCTGTTTCAACAAGGGAGTAACATGCTCTCTGTAATTGGCCCCAGTCTCCATTCTGGCTGCAGGATTCTGGATCAGCTGAAGCTCCCGAACACATCGCATAGATGTAGCAAAGGCATGTGACACCATGGCCAGATCCTGCATCCCAAGGAGCTGGTGCAGTAAAGCACTGTGCAAACTGGTGGAATAGTGATGATGATAATATCACAGAAGCAACTTTGCCTTAACAATTTTTCCTCACCCCCCAAAAAAACCTTTGAAGTTTCGGGCCTTAACTAGGAGATGAACTGGAGCCTTAAATCATAGTATATTAAATGAAATAGAAAATACCATTTACAACTAGGCGCCATGCTCCTTATTCTATTCAGAAGGAAAGCAATATATTTTATTCCTTCCATCTCGTGGCAGCTTTATCACACCCATTTATTTTCCTGCTTGATTTTGCAGAGGAGAGGTTGCAAAACCAGATCCTTAGAATGATTTGGGTTTTCCTTGTTTCCTAAATGATTGGCCATTGCTGGTGAAGTTAATTACAGTGTCCTGTCGCCATTTCCTGTAGGAACAAACTCGGAAGTTTGCCTATCAGGTTGGAGGCGAAACTGGGCCAGTGGTTTCTGTATTCTCAGAGGAACGATTTGGGGGGACCCCCCTGAACCCTAGAATTTAATAAATGGTAGGGTTTTCATTATTTGGAATGCGAAGGGAGAAATACAAGCTGCACAGGTATTTCTTGGCTAGCCTATGCAAAGCGACCTGGCCAAGCTAGGGCCAATAAGAAACAACAGAGGGCTGTTGAGAGCTTGCCAGGGCAACTGGTTGTGAGGTGACAGGAAAAGAGAGTTTTTAGCAAGGGTTGCTGGGAAGAAGAAGGACTGGGATCTACCTTGGGCAGGCTGGGTGAAGGCTGGTTGAAGCTTGGCGGCAGCAGCAGTGGCAGGGGAAATAGGGATATTCTGGGATCAAATCAGAAGCCAGGGTGGCTTTCGTAATTCAAGCACTGTTTCTGGAAAATCAGAACACTTGGAAGGTATGCTACAGACTGCCTGAAACCCTGAACCAAAGCACAATACAGTCATACCTCGGGTTGAAGTAGCTTTGGGATGAGTATTTTCAGGTTGCGCGCTGCGGCGACCCGGAAGTAACTGAGCGTGTTACTTCTGGGTTTCGCCGCTCGCGCATGCGCAGCCAAAATGAAGTCACACGCATGTGCGGAAGCGGCGAATGGGGCTCCGGAACGGACCCCGTTTGCATCCAGAGGTACCACTGTACTGTGGAGACGCGCTGCAAGCTTATGTTTCAGAGCCCACGTCATAAATAAACCTCAGCTTTTAACCAAGGTCTAGAAGACTATTTCATTTTCTAGTGAAATGAGATGTATAAAAATAGCTGTTGGTCTTAAAAACATTTGAATGCAATTGGGCTCATTTAGTATGGGAGCCATGTTTTTGCAGAACTGGCTGCAAACAGAATTAAAGCAGTGATTTCATATGGCACATAATGTAAGTGCGATGTTACTCATCCGTGCCCAGCCCCATGGCTCAGAAACATCCTGTCACAGGTCTTCCTTCCCCTCCTCCAGAGAGATTTATTATTGTTATTATGCTGGCCTTTGGAATTACAAACACACTTGTGTGACGCTGTGACCTGGCAAGTGCTCCCTCCCTACGTACAGGATGTTAGCGTGACACAAAAATCACTGTGGGAAGGGCAAACAGTTTCCCTGATAAAATCGAACAGTTCATAGTTGTCACAGGAAAAGCTTGAAGCACACCATCTGATGGGGGAAATTTCACACATACCCTCCAACATTTCCCTAATGAAAATAGGGATGTCCCATTCCATAATTTTAGTATTTATACGCCAGACATCTTACCATAGCTGTCAACTTACAGATTTGAAAATAAGGGACCAGCAGCCTCAAAAATAAGGGATCAGCAGCCAAAATAAGGGATTTTTTGGGCACAGGTATGTTCAACTTCTGAGCCCCACCGAGCCAAAGGCAGAAAGCCCAGCCAGCAGCCAAACAAAGCCTCAAGTGGTGGTTCCCACAGTGCAGCAACCCGGCAAAGGGGATGCAGCAAGGAAAACCACCGTCACTTCTCCGCTGGGAAGCACTGAGCAAAGGCGAGTCCCCAGGCAACGCGGCCGATTTGATGCAAGCTCCACCCCCCCGTCGTTCTTAGACTCCTTCTTGGGTGAGCAATGCAGCCAAGCAACACAGTTGGAGCCTCCCTCCTCCCTGGCCAGCAGGGAGGGAGGGAGAGGAGCTGCTTCCTTTGAAACCCGGGAAATTTAAGGAACATCATCAATAAAGGACAGCAGCGGGACACGGCGCTGGGATAAGGGACTTTCCCACCAAATAAGGGACGGTTGACAGCTATGCATCTTACTGGGTTGCCCCAGCAATTCTGGGCAGCTTCCAACATATATAGAAACACAATAAAACATCTTAAAAAACCCTTCCCTATACAGGATTGCCTTCAGACAGCTGGGGGTGTGTGTTTGTGGGTGTGTGTGGGTGAGATAACTCCATATCCTCCAACATTTCTTGAATGGAAATAGGGAGGTCCTAAGGTAAAGTGGGATGTTCCAGGTTGAAATCAGAAACAGGGACTGCTTCTGTAAATCAGGGACATCCCTGGAAAATAGGGACACTTGGAGGGTCTGTTCTTCCCACCCAGGGTGCCCTCTGCCTACCCCATATCTGGTGCACCACGCAGGGCTGGGCCTCAGCTGTGGTAGCTTCTCCAGCAGCTGCTCTGAGCTGCCCAAGTGAGGTGACCGGCATCAGCCTCCTAACCATAGATGCTCATTTGCCATGGGCTTTAGGAAACATTAACATCTTTTGTGTGCTAAATATCAGACTCTGATCAGGATTGAAGTTGTTGAGCTTTTTTTTACAATTTTACCCCAAAGTTGTTGAGCTTTTTCTAGGATTTTACCCCAGGACATGTACTGCCACGGGAGCTGGATCAAATCAACCGGCAGGCTGGATTAGGCCCCCAAAACAGACTTTGGACATGCCTGCTTTAAGGCAAAGCCCAGGTGATAGTCTGTTGATAGCAGTCAACACAACACTATTTTAAAAATCTAGCTTTGAAAAAAAGATTGGTTCAACATTCTCTGTTACCCAAGAACCTCCCTTGCTTTATTTTGATTTGTGATTATATTTCCTGAGACCTCTTTCCAGCATGAAAATAAAACATACCTGATTTTATCTACCACACGCCAGCAGTCTTTCCACTGCTGAATGTCTTCCATTCGTTTCAGTAGTTCAAGGGTCCCTCAGGATCAAGGAAATGAATGGTGGTTGCACAGCTGTTTTGATCAATAAATCCAGCCCCACCCCCACAACACACCATGACAAAATTGGACTTTTCATTGCTCTTCAAGCCAGAAAGCTGCCATTCTACAACACTGGATATTTATTGCTTTGTAATGCAAGTAGAGAACATGTTCTGGAAAGCAACGAGATATTAACAGGACAGTTGTTTCTACGATGAAGCAGTTTGGAAGAATGTTTGATGGCTTCTTGCAGAGCAAATGCCGACTTAATGAAATTGTCAGTGGGACACATTTCTACTGGCTACCCTTTGGTTTGGTTGTCATCCCTCAAGGCGTTCGGCTTTATTGGTGTGGGAGCTGTTCACTTCTAATAATATTTTATAGCCAGGTCCTAAGATCTGCTGGGCCAGCAATCTGTG